TCAGAGAGGCAAGAATATACATCTCTATTGTCTCCTCCACCCATCCATCCTACTTCAAAGGAGATGGATCCCTGCCAGGAGGTGAAGCAGGAGATTGAGGCCAGGGGCAGGCTATTCTGCTCTCCTCTGAGAGAGGAGGTACCAGGCTGGAATTTACATCCGGTCCCTTAAATATTTTTAGTGTAAAGGATAGAATTTTTAGGTTCAAGGTAAATTCCTATTCCTTGCTCCTTAATGGGGAAAGCATGTGCCAAGCTCTACATCAAGGCATTGCTCCCTTCCCACCAAATACCTGGTCTACAACGAACATAGAGAACAAATAGCAAATAAAGTAATTTAACCAAGTGAATAGTGAAACAGAAATCAGAGAAAGTATACACAGGAGACAATACCATACCAGATAATACAGAACAAATGAGCTCTCCTTTTGGGAATGAGATAGCTCAGCTCAACCAAGAGAGAAAATCCCAGATCTCACCCAAGAGAAAATCCCCCTAAGTCTCTAGTGTAGCAAGCTGCAGAGAGAGACATGATAAAGACTACCACTTCCCCTCATGTCAGATTCTTCTGAGTCTTTCTCTCCTTTCAGCAACCTGAAGATAGGTTTGAATTTCACATCTCTCTCAAAACTGGAAGCCAGAAGAACTCAAAAGAGTTTATATTTCTATTCTCGTTGAGAGGACCTCTCACCAACTCTGGCACATCCCTCAGCACCCACTTGGCACTGAGTAATCACTCTCCAAGAGGTATGGTCTTTGCCCTGGAATAGACAGAACTAAAACAGATGTCTTGGAGTTCAAAATAAGTGCTACAAAGCAAGGATCTAAGATATCTCCAAAGGCCTCATAATGGAAGATGCTATCCACATCCAAAGAAAGAACTATGGAGTTTGAATGTAGATTGAAGCACACTATTTGCTATTTTTTTTTCTCCTGTTGTGTTGTTTCCTCTTTCTGGTGGTTCCTCCTATTGGTTCTAATTCTTACAACATCACTAATGTGAAAATATGTTTAATAGGAATGTATATGTATAGCCTGTATCAGATTGCACGCTGTCTTGGGGAGGGAAGTGAGGAAGGAGGGAGAGAAAAATTTAAAACGCAAAAGTTTATGGAAGACATTGTTAAGAAATCAAAATAAACTAATGAAAAACCAAAACCAAAACCAAAACCAAAACACAGTAAGTGCTACAGTGGAAAGGGCAGAAGACCTGGGTTCAAACCCACATTAAAAGAGTATAACTGACATACACTGTACTGGTCTAACTGTAGCCCAGTTTAATTTTCCTGGGCCTCAGTTTCATCATCTGTAAAATGAGGTTTAGACTCCAGAGTAGACGGTTTCTGAGGTTCCAGCTCTAGATGTATGAACCTAGAGACGAGAGCACGTAACCATCCTTGATGTGTGAGTCACTAAGATTATACCAACCGCCTATCAGAGTACTAAGATAACTACGAGATGAGTAAGAGACTCAGAGACAGAGGATCCCAGATCTTCCTCCCTAACCCCTTAAAAACAATCCATCAAGTTTTAGAGATGCACTGTTCCACTCAGAGAAAGAATCACCTCTAGATTCCCCTTACCCAACCCAAGAATCCACAGAGGGACCCCTGGCATCCTACAGAGATTCTGGGACAGACTGGAGCAGTTCAGGAGAGAAGTGCAGAGGACTGCATAAAGGAACGGGATCCTGGAACCTCCTGGAAGTTCTAGCATTCCATGCCTGTGTTTCATGACAGTTAAGGCTATCCCAGTTTGAGCCTTCCCTGAACACACGGCTACAAGGAACTGGCTTTGGGACAATCAGTACCAACAGGGCCCACACCCAGTTTTTGACTAGCAATGAGTGGCCTTAGACACCCCAGAGCTCAGCTAGGGATCAGTGGCCCTGAGCCTAGCATTGGGTTAGCCCCTAACTCCAGTAACAGGAGGGAAGAAACTCAGGTAGAGGCTATAGTGAGGAGAATGTGGGGAGCCCAGTGACAAGAGGAATCACCCAGGAGAGCATAGCACCAGAGTAGCTCTGTGAGTCTGACCCACTACACTCAGGACCAGACAGGCCCTACCTGTATCATTCAGTTTTAAAGCATGACCCAATCATAGGCCCCATAATGATCAAGCAAAGGAACATTCCAAATACTACAAAGAAATAACTTGTTTTGAGAAATGCCCAGGGGGTAAACTCTGAAGAGGATAGTGACCCCACAAGTCCAGGTAAAGACTCAGAAAAAAAAAAAACATTCCTAGTCATAACGATTATACTATAGATGGCCTTTTCAAAATATTCGGCCATAAAAAGTAGAAGATACAGGATGACAGTTGGGAGGCATTAAAGGATCAAGGATTTTTCCCCCCAGGATGTGGGAGACATGGGCATGTTTACAGGTAGTAGGGAATGAACGAGTAGACAGAGAAAAGTTGGAAAATAAGTGAAAGAAGGGGGATGATAGGGGCAGCTAGGTGGTGCAGTGGATAGAGCACCAGCCCTAGATTCAGGAGAACCTGAGTTCAAATCCAGCCTCAGACACATAACACTTACTAGCTGTGGGACCCTGGGCAAGTCACTTAACCCCACTGCCTAGCCAAAAGAAAAAAAAAATGAATGGGGATGATGGAGGGGGCAATCTGTTGGTGGAGTCAGGATACAAGGTGATTGCTTGAAAAAGGAGCAAGGAGTAAGGCCACTTCATCATATGAGATAGGGGTGGGGGAGATAGTAGCAGAAGGCACCTGAGTGACAGGAGACAAGGAGACAAGGAAGTGGGAAGAAGTAACTCATGGAAATGGCCTCAAAATATGTGGAAAGAATCTCAGTTGAGAGAGCTGGAGGGCGGGGCATGTTAAGGGAAGCCATGAGACATCCGAGAAGGGATGAAAAGGTTTGGAAGAGCCACTGTGGTGAGTAGGATAATGAGTTCATAAGGACGGTGTAGTAGGATTGCCTAGCAACAGTGAGGGCCCAGTAGAGGCTATGTAAAAAAATTTTAGTGGACCCAATCAGAACGGTTGCATGATATTCTCCACCTTTGTTCAGTATTATATATATAGGAACAAAGGCAGCTAGATGGCTCAGTTGGGCCTGGAGTCAGAGTTCAAATCTGACCTCTGACACTCACTAGCTGTGTAATCCTGGGCAAGGCACTTGACCTTGTTTGCCTCAGTTTCTTCTTCTGTAAAATGAGGAAGAGGAAAACGGCAAACCACTCCAGCATCTTTGCCAAGAAAACTCTATACAGGGAGTCACAAAGAGTCAGACACTACTGAACAACTGAACAAGGAGCAAAGGTAACAAATGATGAATGTGATCTAAGGCTGAGCGAGGCTTAGCTGGGTGTAATCACAATGAGTGAAATGATAAGGGAGTTGGAGATTCAAGAAGACAGTGTACAGCTGAACTGGTTCACCAAAGGGTCAAAATGGGAAAAAAAAGGAGAGATCAGCTAGGGTAGGGAAGATGGCCCGAGGGAGAACTGAGGGGTCAAGGGGTTAGAGATCATGGTACAGATGAAGAGTAGAGTTTAGTAAAGGAAAGCAGAGGGAAACATGAAAAGCCATCAAGTTTTAGTCAGATAAGGGGATTTCACAATTCTTTTTTTTGGTTAGGCAATGGGGGTTGACTTGCCCAGGGTCACACAGCTAGTGTTATGTGTCTGAGGCCGGATTTGAACTCAGGTCCTCCTGAATCCAGGGCCAGTGCTCTATCCACTGTGCCACCTAGCTGCCCTGATTTCACAATTCTTTAACAATAGAGCTGGTACATTTGGGGGTGATGGCAAGTGAGAACAGAACAAGCATTTCTATAGCACCTACCATGTGGCTGCTAGGCACTGTGGCAAGCACTTTACAAATATCTCATTTGATTAGGAGCAAGAGTCTGCCCATTCTGATTCAGTGCAGGGCAGCGATGAGAACCCTAGACTGGGAGATCTGGGTTCTAGTCCTAGCCCTGTCACTCAATATGCAACCTTGGAAAAGTCAAAATCTCTCAAAGCTTCACTTTTCTTATTCGGAGAATGAGAGAGGCAGAGATACTTTCCAATTATAAAAAGTTATTATTCTATAACTCTAACTTTTCATCCATCAAGAAATAAATGAAAAATAACTGAGTAAACCTTTTTTAAAGTTTCCCTACAATGTATGTTCCTTTTATCAATGGCACATGCCCATTTATTAGGCTAGATGCTGCTAGAAAGAATAAGGATTTGTTCTCCCCTTTGATTTAATTTAGAAATGACACCTAAGAGAGGGCAGTGGATAGCATTTGTTGTTGCTGTTCTGTGGTTTTCACTCACATTCCCCACCCCAGCTGGGGTTTTCTTGGCAAAGATACCAGAATAGTTTGCCATTTTCTTCTCCAGCTCAGTTTGCAGATGAGGAAACTGAGGCAAACAGGGTTACACAGCTAATAAGTGTCTGAGGATTGATTTGAACTCACCAAGATGAGTCTTCCTGACTCTAGGTCTGGCACTCTATCCACTTTGCCAACTAGCTGCCTCTGGTGGACATCATTCCTGAGTCCAAATCCTACCTGAGACATAACCGTGTGCAAGTGTCATTTAATTTCTCAATTTCTGAGACAAAGAACTGCCTGAGGTGCTCAGATGAGCAGCACAGGAGATGCTCATCCAAATAGGTAGAGGAAATGTCTTCATTGGGAGTTCCCTATGATAATGACACAACAGGTTTGGTCCAATTCTAATGGCAAGAAAACATAAATGCATGGCATATAAGGGACAAAAAATACATGAGAATGATTCAAAAAATCAGGCTATCATAAGTATGTCATGTAATACCAGGAAAATAAAGAACCAAGGAAGTTATAAAGAGATATAAAACAAATACATGTTTTTAATTCAAAGGAATTATCTGTATCTGACCTGAAAGATCGGTGACTGTAAAATCCAGTCAATATTATAAGCACTTTTTTCTTTCCTATACAATGAAATAGTAAAGGGTTAATTGGGTAAAACAGAACTCAATTAAGTCCTTGTTTAAAACAACTACCAATCTTCTTGTGCCGTGCCTCCCTTCAAAAATTGCAGGTTTCTGACTTTTTAGATTTAGCAGGAATAAGAAATATGTGCTTCATAACAAAGCACTTTTTATAAAATTTAAAACACATAGGCTTTGATTGAAGAGGGACTGCAGATGGATCCAGGTCTCCTCCAACTGTGAAGACAACGTGGTCATTTCTTCTAGTAGTACTGGCTCTGAAGGAAGAATTTTAAGATGCAACTGAAAAAAAAAATAAATGTTCAAAAGTTAAAATTAAATTGTGTAGGTTTTAGAAAATGATATTTTCACCTATTCTACCTTTTACTTTTTACAGAGGCGCCAATGTTTTAATTATGTCTTCTCAAGGTTTAATATTTTTCCTAGTGCCTATAGTGGTTGCACATTTTTACTTCAGCCAGCAAAGACTTTCCCCTCTTCTTTATTAACATTATTTTTTATTCTTTAGACCTTTTCATAGTCTAGTAATTATCATGACACTCTACTTTTACAATTGACTTGAGGTAGACATTGTGAGAATTCCAAAGGCTTAGAAACAAGGAACCTGGCTTAGAAACCAAACTCAAAGTTCTATGCTATCACAAAATACCTTAGACAATAAGAATTGATTAAGCACCTACTATATACCAAGCACTGTACTAGCTGTTGGAGGATTAAAAGATAAAAAATGATAAAAAGATTAAAAAAAAGATAAAAATGAAACAGTCCTTACCATTAAGGAGTATATATTATTAACAAGGGAGACAATATGTACACAAATAAGTTTATACAAAATTTTTTAAAAAGGTAATGGGAGTAAGGATTTTAATGATGGATAAGAACTGTTTTGTTTTATTCCTTTTTCTTTCCTAAACTTTTAAGTGACATATCTATATTAGTGTTTAGGGAACAGTTATATTTTAAAGAAAATGGTTAAATGGAATAATCTAATATTGAATAGTATTTATTTACTAATGGCTCTCCCAAAAGCTTTAGTGCAGTTTTAACCTTTCTTAGCTTAAAACTACACTAATAAGAGCTGGCACTTAACATAGCACTTTAAAGTTTGCAAAGCCCTTTATACAGCTTATCTGATATATGTGTATGTATGTATACACACACATATATATGTACACATTCCCTTCAATAACTAAAACTAGAACAAATTAATATTCTCAGGAAAACTGCTGTTTACTACAGTGAAGTTAGCTTATCCTTGCCTTCATTCTACTATCAAAAGAAATCTTATGAAGTTTGACCATTGTAGAAATATAATCATTTCAAAAGGAGCTCATGCCAGTTCAACAACTTTGTAGCTATGAGGAACTCAACCTCACAAATGGCTACAGAAAACAAAGACGGCGTTACGTTTGTTATAAAATGCTGTCATATTTACTCATGCAAGAAAAATTAGCAAAATTCTAACTGTTTTGGGGAGTTGAAGGAGGAAGTGTAGACTGCTATACTTTATTCAGGAGAAGTATCTTTTTATTTTGCAAATATTCATAAATGACAGATATGATTGTGAAAAAAGTTCCCTTCTCATAAATGCTATAGTTACCTTTAAAAATAAAGCTAGATATGCCTGGGCCAGTTCAAAATCACGCTTTGTGGTTAACATTGCCTCAATCATTTTCAAGAAACTCTGCATGAGTTTTACAGAGCCACCACATTCTGGAGATAAGCTGCGTAGCTCTATTTCAATTGCTGAAGGACCCAATTCCTTAAGAACATTAAGTGGAGATTCATCTGGGTTGTTAAGAAAAAAAAAATCAGTTAACATTTGCAGTTATCTGTAATAAGAAAGAATCTTATCATTAGAACCTAAGTGATCTATTATTCATTAAAAGAATTTTTTATATAATCCAATATTTGCAATTTATTTTTGTAAGTAAGATAAATAGCTTCCAAGCAAAAAACAAAAAACAAACAGGTTCTGAGGATAGTATTGTGAATAATATGCTAAAAGTTTCTGATTATCTGCAAGTAGGAGGAAGCAGCACAGTCCCACCAAACCTCCTTTACAAAGATCTAGGAAATGCACCAGACTTAATTCTAATTAGAGAATTATCAAGGAGAAGAAGGTGATCAACAGTGTCAAAGGCTGCAGAGAGGTCAAAGAGAATGAGAATTAAGAAACTGGATTTGGCAACCAAAGGTCAGAGGCTACATTATGTAGGATTAAGAAGAAAGTGTAAAAGTGAATGCCTCTGTTATAGACGGCCTTTTCAAGATTAGCTACAAGGGCAAAAGAGATACGAGCTGATAGTGGAAATAGAAGGATCAAGGAAGGGCACGAGGGAGATATAAGCATGTTTTACAGGCAGTCAAAAATGAGCCAGAAGACAAGGAGAGATTGAAAATTAGTGAAAGAATGGGGATGACAGAGGGGACAATCTCTTTAGGAGACAAGACAGAATGGGATCACTTAAACAAGTGGAGGAGTTAGCCTTGGTAAGGAGTAGGGCCACCTCATCTTTGAGACAGGAGTGAGGAGAAGATAGGGCAGAAGCCATCTAAGTGAAAGGAGACAAGAATGAGGAAAGAAAAGGGAGCTCATGGCAAATGGTCTCATTTTTTTCTGTAAAATATGAGGCAAAGTTCTCAACTAAGACAGTGGTGGGAGAGAGACCCATCTGAGATTCAAGAAGGGATGAAACAGCTTGGAAGAATCAATGTGGAAATTGGCATAGTGAGTTGATATGGCAGGTACAGTAGGGCTGCCTATCAGCAACGAAGGCCATAGATTATGGTTGGATAAGGGAATTTTGGAATTCTTGAACATGGAGGTGGTACATTTGTTCATGATGGCAAGATCAATGACCATTTTTGTGTGTGGCTGAGATGAAGAGGAGTAGCAGTCAAGGGAAAGTGAGTAGGTTGAGGGACTGAGAGGTTACAATGGTGATAAGAAGGAAAAAAAAAATAGATTTGTTAATTAAAAATAGAAAGGTAGGGAGGTGCTTCAGACATGGAATGTTGTGTTCAAATGAGGCCAGTGTATTAATAGTTTAACTTAATTGTTTTGCATTGCTACAAGAGACCTCTGACAGAGTGTGTGTATCTGGGAGATAATTTGTAAATGTTTGTAATGTAAAAACAAAATACATCAACAAAATTTTTTTAAAAAGGAATCGGATCCACATACGCAAAAACATTTATAATAGCTCTTTTCATGGTAGTTAACAGTTTGAAATTAAGAGGATTTCTTCCTATTGGGGAATAGCTAAACAAACTGTGATATGAGTGTAATAGACTATTACTGTGCCATTAAAAATGATGAAATAGGTAATTTCAGAAGAAACTGAAGTCTTTTATGAACTGATGCAGACCCAAGTAAGTAGAACTACTAGAACAATTTATAACATGATAACATCATAGAGAAAAACAACTCTGAAAGATTTTAGAACTCTGATCAATACAATGATAAAACCATCAGTTCAAAACACTGAAAATTCAACAGGTCACTCACTCATCTCCTAAGAGAGAAGAGATGAAGTTAAAATTCAGAAAGAGATGGTACTTTTGGTAATGTCTAATGTAACAGTTTGTTTTGCCAGGTAATGTCTAATGTAACTAGTTATGTATTGACGGATTTGTTTTTTCGGTTTGGCATAATGGGGGCAGGAAGAGTAGGAGGGACATATTAACAGAAAAAATGCTGTCAACTGAAATTACAAAAAAAGGGAAAATAAAAGAAAAAAATTATGACCAGACAAAATTCCAGTTAAGGAAAGATACTGAAAGTTGACTTCTGAAAAAAAATCTGTTCAAGTCAACTAGAGTAGAAGGAAGCTATCAAATTACTTATTACAAAAAGCCATATTTAATTGATAAAGATATCTCAATTTCAGTATGAATTATCTTCCCTCTAAAAACAAAATAACAATTTGTACACCCAACATTGATACAAAAACTCAGATAAATGAATTAAAATTAAACTGAATATATTACTACAAACTAAGTTTAAGAACAAAACAAAAAATACTCAGCTCATTAGTTTTTAGGGTTGCTTTCTTTTGGCTGTTCTTATGATACTACTACTAGCCAGCTGGCTCAGTAGACAGAGCATCAGGCTGGAACAGGAAGATCTAAGTTCAAATCTGGCTTCAGACTCTTACTAGCTGTGTGACTCTGGGAAAGTCACTTAACCCCCATTTGCCTCAGTTCCTCATCTGTAAAATGGAGTCGAATTGGAGAAGGAAATGGCAAGAACACTCTAGTACCTTTGCGAAGAAAATCCTATGAACAAGTCCACAGGGTCACAAAGAGTTGGATGCAAATGAATGACTGAACATCAGCAACTACAAAATACAACTACTGAACTAAGTACAAATAATTCACTATCTCTTCTTTATATATTCCAGAGTTTAGAACAGACATGGAAACTTTTAGTTTTTTACTTACATTTATTATGGTTCAGTCCTTCTTCAAGTTTCAGACAGAAGTCAGATTTTTGAGCCAAAATTCCAAGATTTATCACTTTAGACTTGAATAAAAACAACATCAAAATTACACATTTAAAAAATAATGTATGATGGTCCAGTGCCTGGCACATAGTGGGGAGGAAGGGGAAGTTTATTCTCTTCTTCCACCCCAATTAATATTAAAGGGGAAGAGGGAAGCAAAGAAGGATGCATGCTTAGAACTTTGAATCTGTGATCTTACCTGTTGGGCATCTGTATCTTGTTCAGAGGAAAGGTATTTTGGTACAAGGCCAGGAACTGTAGGTATAAAAAATGGTGCTGACTTGGGCACTTTGGGAGGTTCCTTTGGTTTATTCTTTTTCTGGTAAGAGGAAAATACAAAGATGAAAAAATCTGTAAAACAAAAACTTCTGCAACTCACTTAAATATTTTAATACTACATCAATACTGAAGAAATAAAAAGTAATAAATCACATTTTCAAAGGAACTACATACCTCATCACGTGAAGGATTTGTGATCTCACTGGTGTCTACTCGTCCACTAGAGCAGATCAGACTGTCTTAAAAAGCTGTCTAAGACAACTGAGCTTGTCCACAGTCATAAAGCTGGTTAAGTGGCTCTCAAATTTTTTCATTTCTTGATTTCTCATTTAACAAATTCATACCAATTATTTCACCATATCTAATACCTGACAATTCCCTTTCCATCTGTTGAAACTTCTACTGTTCTAAACTCCCTTCTGATACCATAGATCTTTAAAAGAAGGGGAAAATATGTGTAAGATTTAAAAGCTGCATCCTGGAAGAAACAGCAAAGAACAAGGAATCAGGATGGGTTCTAGTTTGGGCTTTCCTAGGTTTGTGACTTTGTTCAAGTAACTTCACCTCAGTTTCCTTAACTATAAAATTAAGGAGTTGGAGTACTCGAGAATATGACAAAATCACTCTCCTCAGGTGCAGCAGAAGGACACAATCAAGAACTTTGGTTAAAGACAAGTAATCTGAGATGCAAAGGAAGCATTTGTTGCGCAGGATTATCCCATTAGAAGAATTAATTTTGAATCATTTGATGAGACATAGGATTATTTTTTAAAATTACATACTAGGCCCTTCTTTGAAAGGGCGCTCTAATACGTGACCTCAGAGGCCATACAGGATGTTTGAAACCTTAACATGATTATTAATAAATTTTTAAGAGACTTAGAGAAGACTTTTGAAATCTAAAACCATTAATCAATACAAGAGAAGTTAACTGTTTACTGACATTAAAGCAACTGAAGAAAAGTTTAAGATATCCATGCTTAGTAATGGGAGAGGGAAGTAACTAATTGTTTCAATATGTTTATGCTGACTACAATTAGCAAACATTTATTAAACGGCTAGGTGCCTGACATAGTGCTGGGGATACAAAGACAAAAATGAAGCAGTCTTTGCTCTTAAAGAGTTTAATTATATAAGAGGAGATAACACGTGCACATATGTGATACACCAAGTAATGCAAACAAGGAGAGCCCTAGTGTTGGGAATCAGGAAAAGCTTCAAGTAGAAAGTGGTGTTTTTTTTTTTCTTTTTGCTAGACAATTGGGGTTAAGTGACTTGCCCAGGGTCACACTGCTAGTAAGTGTCAAGTGTTTTGGTCTGAGGCTGGATTTGAACTCAGGTCCTCCTGAATCCAGGGCCACTGAGCTGCCCCAGAAAGTGGTGTTTCTTGAGTCTTGAAGAAAGTGGGGAACTTTTTGAGGCAGAAGTGATGAGGGAGCATAGTATATTTAAGGGATGTGGGATGGCCAGTAAAAAGGTAGGAAAATGGGAGATAGAAGATTGTGAATAAGAAACAGTGAGGCCAGTCTGGCTGCAGGACATCTAATGTGTGTGGAGGTGAGTAATGTGGAACAAAGCTGGAACGATAGGTCGGGATCACCCTGACTCATTCTAGTAGATATATGAAGGATGAACTGGAGAGAGGAGACATATAAAGCATTGAGATGGCTTACAAAGTTACTCTTACAGTCAGGAAAGAAATGAAGCATGTCTGAACTAGGATGGTAACTGTTAGCAGGAAAAAAAGGATAAATGGGACAACAACAGACTGAATATGGGGGATAAGTAAAAATAAGGAGTGAACATAAATGACTGGAAGAATGATGGGATACTTGACAGAAATAGAGAAGTTTGAAAGGAAAGGTTTTGGAGGGGGAAGATAATGAGTTCTGTTTTGGTCAAGTTGAGTTTGAGATTCTATGGGAAATTTAGTTTGAAATGGCCAATAGGAAGCTGATGACAGGGTACTGGAACTCAGAAACTACATGTGGTTAGATGTATGCATCTATGAGCCATCTGAATAGAGATGGTAACTAAACCCAGAGTGGGCCAAAAAATTTAAGAGGGTTCAGTACAGGGCTACACATGCATATTTAGAGAGTAAAACTGAGAACAGTGCCTCCTACTTTATTAGGAAAATTAAGGCTATTTGAAGAAAGGCTATTTCCTCCCCCTGAAATCATGCCTGACTGAAAATAAGGTGGTTCTTCTTGCGGAGGTCAACCCCTCTAGAGATGCAAATGCATTTGTGAGAAATCACAAACAGGATGCAAGCCCATCTCCTCCTTTATTTGCCAACAAATTACAAGCTCAATCATCCCTCTCCCTCACTTCAACCTCTCACTATCTATTAGTTCTTTCCCTTCTGACTTCAAATATGCCCAATTCTCTCCACCCTTAAAAAAATCTTCATTAGACCCTAACATCCCCTCAAACTATTGTCCTGTATCTCAGGATACTCAACTAAATGGCTCTCTTCAAAGTTACCAATGATTTTTTAATTGCCAAAGCTGACAGTCCTTTTTCAATCCTTATTATTAACCTACCTGCTATATCTGACTGTGCATCTCACAGATGTAGTCCGGGGTTCCAAGACACTACTCTCTCCTGGCGCTTCTTCCACCTATCCGACTGATTCTTATGCCTTTACTACGGACATTTCTAAGGCTCTCTCACAGGCCCTCTTTTCTATACTTTGTTTACTGGTGACCTCATCCGCTTCCATGGATTAAAGTATTATCTCTAAGCCAATAGCTCACAAATATATATTATTTATAGCCTCATTCTTTCCCCTGAGCTTCAGTCCTGCATCATCTATTGTTTATCAGACATTTTAAACTGGATGTCCAAGATTTTAAACTTGATGTGTCTAATATAGGACTCACTATCTTTCCCTTCTAAGCCCACCAAGCTTCCCTATTTCCAACAAAGGCACCACCATCCCTCCAACACCAGATTTGTAAACTCCGAATTATCCTCACTCTAATTCCTACTTCCCCTCACCCCACATACACAATTAGTTGTCAAATCTTGTCATTTCTACATCCACAATATCTCTCAAATCTGACTCCTCTACTCAATTACCACCTTAATCAGGCCCTATTTACATCTTGCCTAGAGCATTATAATGGCTTGATAATTAACCTCCCTGCTTTAAGACTTCTCCACTCCAATTTATCCCACACACTGCTGCCAAAGTGATTTCCTTTAAACAAAGCTATGACTAAGTCTCGTCTCATCTCCTCAATCAACTACAATGGCTCCCTACTGACTCTGTGATCAAATATAAACCTTTCTGTTTAGCTTTTAAAGCCCTTCACAAACTGGCTCCAAATTTATCTTTCCATCTTCATTGTATATTACCTTCCCCTCTTGTATTTTGTGATCCAGCCAATAAGTCTTTTCTCTGTTCACAGACAACACTCTATCTCCATTTTTCAGGCCCTTAAATTGGCTATTTCCCATGCCTGGATTATATCTCCTTTTCACTCCACCTTACAGAATCCCAATCTTCTTTTAAAGAATAGCTCAAGCATACTATTCTCATTCATAACCCTTCCCCCCCAAATGCTAGTGAAACTATGTTGTTATTTATGACTTTGTATTTAACTGTAACTATTCTCTTAGTATTCAGTGTGTGCGTGTATGTGTATGTATTTCCTTGTCATCTCTCTTGTTAAAATCTAAGTTCCAGGGGCAGCTAAGTGGCACAGTGGATAGACCTCTGGCCTTGGAGTCAGGGGACCTGAGTTCAGGTATGGCCTCAGACACCTGACACTTCCTAGCTGTGTGACCCTGGGCAAGTCACTTAACCCCAATTACTTCATCAAAAAGCAAAAAGCGCCAAAAAAAAAAAAGTAATGATAGTTAAAAATGTAAGTTCCTTGTAACTGTCTCATTCATTATATTTGTATCCCCAGCAAATAATATAGTGCCTGGCACATAGTTGGTGATTAATAAATATTTGTCTGATTAACATGGATAATGAACCAGAAAAGGATCCTGAGGAAGGGTCATACAGGTAGAGAAGAGAACCAAGAGAGGATAGTGTTTTGAAAACTGAGAGAATACAGAGTATTAAAAGAAGATGGTGTCAGTAAGGTCAAATGCCTCAGAGAGGACAGGAAAGAGAAGGACTGAGAGAAGACCACCAGAATTGTCAATTAAGAAATCAATAGTAACTTTGAAAAGAATAATTTTAGTTGAGTGATGAGGTGAGAAATCACAAATGGATGGCAACTGAGCAAGATGAGAGAAAGTGGAAGCAGTAGGTGTCAGGAAATGGAACAAACATTTATTAAGTATCTGTCAGGCCCCATACTAAACACTTCACAAATATTATCTGCTTTGATCGTCAAAACAGCCTGGGAAGTAAGTGTTATCATTACTTCCATTTACAATTTCAGGAAACTGAGGCAGAGATTAAGTTACTTTCCCAGTACCACACAGCTATTAAGCATCTGAGGCTGGATTTAAATTCAGGTTTTCTTGACCCTAGGCCCAGCACTCTTATCCACCAAGCCACCTAGGTGCTTCAAGTTAAGACAACTTTTTCCTAGAACTTTTGAGAAAGGGAGGAGAGATTAGAAACAGGGAATGATTCAGGGACTAATCTATTAGAGAAGATGGGGAGTGCTAATTAACCACCATTTCCTCAGCACTTATGCAATGTTACTTTAATTTACACTTTGTTGCTTTGCAGCTATTTTTAACTTTTTCATAACTATTTTTAACTATTTCATAAATATAACTCTTGTTAACCTATTTTTTTCATTAGGTAGAAAAATGGGTCAAGATAACCTGCAAGATTTCTTCCATTTCTAAGATGTTCTGCATATACTGCTAGCCATCACACACTCCTAGTATAAGGAATTGAAACAGAAATAATTCAAGTCTCTGGGTAAATTACCTAATCATAAAGAAGTGTTCTGAATACAATAGGTAAAAATGGTGTTTGTGTCATGAACAATCTTAACTATTGTCTTCCTCCTCTGAACCTTTTTATGCACAACACTTTTTCTTGTAGGTGGTTTAAAAAGTTCTGTTGTAAATAGAGGATGTTAAGAAATAGAGACATGCTCTGAGAAGAGACCAAAATAAATATTTGTTGACAATAAAAAAAAGGTTGAGGAAAGAAGGGAAACGTATTTGTAACGGCAGATCTGTGAAAATTCTTTCGTCACCTCTATGTTGTGCAAGTACCACAAAGAGCTCCTTTTTGTTTCAGAACACAACCTTCCAAAATGAATAAAGTAATTGTCTTTATTGGATTCATTTGAACAAAAGCAACAAAAAAATTACAATGATCCAATATTTGACAGCTCTGGTTTTAGGATTAGATTATTAGAGAATCTCAAACTAGGATTAGAAACATCAATGAGCATAGTTTCAGTCCAATCAGATGTGTTTCAATGTGATTTTTATCTCTTCACATCCTCTTACTCCTACCTTTACCTTTACTTTGTATAGCCAGTGCCCACTAAGCCCTGGACCACAAGGTAAGGGAAGCTCTTTGAAAGAAAAAGTATGTTTTCTAATGACTAATGGTTAAGAATGCCCTTTCTGTAAAGTTCATTTAGGATTCCAGAATTTGAGAAATTACCTTAATAAATTAATAACTGTCATTACCTTAATAACTGCAAGATTGAGAAGATTTTTCCACCTTGATTCAGGTAGTAGTGACAGAGTTAACAGCTGCTCATTGAGCTGTTCGGGTGAGTCATAATCTATCATTTCATCATTTGGTCCTTCAATTTCTTCTAAGAGTTCTACTTCTTTAAAGAAAGAATTCTCAGTAAAATAGATGTACGCAGATACGCAATATAATTATAAATACACGGTCAGCTTAAATCCTTTTAAACTATGCTTAAAAATGTTAAGTTTGAGATCACTCAAATATAACATCAGAATACTTGATATATATACTTTTTTTTGGTAAGTGCTTTAAATATGTCTATATGTCAAGTATTTTTCTATTATTGAAGCCCTTGAATGCCTTATATGTCCTATTTTACTTCCCACCCCCTTCTACCATAGCCAAATATATTTAAACACTTTCCCCTTTCTATATGCCAAGTTACCATCTTCTCACCCTCTCAAACCTTTACTCTAATCTCTCTACTCATCTCTCCTGTTAATCTCCTTAACCTGTTTTTCAATTAGGTCTATTTCCAAAGGAAAAAAAAGACAAAATGAAGTTTTAAAACTTCTTCCTTTATCTACTTGCTTATATTTCAGTAACTGATGGCATTACCCCTCTCTCAAACCTATTTAGCAACGAAAACTCTTACTATATTCCTGGTTTTCCGGGCACCAAACAACTGTAAATATTCAAATAAAATAGATGGGGTTTTTTTTTAATAGCCACTGGTTTCTCAATGTAATGACGTTGCATGAGAAGGCACACTCAAATCTGCCCAACTAAATTTGTAAAAATTTTAAAAATGCTATCATAAGTTAATACTTTCTTAACATGAAGGTTAAATATGGTCAGTTACCCCACACGCTAAATCGTATGTTTAACAAGAGTTACCTTGTCTTATTAACTCCTCCCCATCCCCCCACCCCAAAAAAAGCATCTCATATCTTGTGATTACCTTGGCTGTGGCAGGTACCAGGAAGCATTACAACAGAAGGAACATAATCTGCTGGAAGTGGCCGTAATGAAACAAGTGAATACAGGGAAATGTTAGACCTAAGAATTCAAAACAATACAAGTCAGTATTTTGTAAGTTCACAGAAACAGTGTTCTCAGAGTAACTTCTAAAGGGCACATCCCTATATTCTAATGCTATGGCTACAGATTTTGATTATTCAGTAATTAAGAAAGATTAAGATATTTAGATTGTTCACTTGAAAATATCATAATATATTGTACACCTTGCTTTAATTCAATACTTGGAAAGGTCAAAGTTAAAAAAACAAACAAACCTCTAATAAAGCATTTGTTAATAGAATCCTATGCACTGGGTTAGCTTGTTATTTAAAGGAACCCTTTAAAACCTTTTTTAAAGTGTAATCTTTCAGGTAAATCTTTTTTTGGGAGGAGTAAATACTTCTCCCCATGTAACTGGAATTGTTAAAGTTGGGCACAGTTGTACAAAGCCTAGTTAAAACACCAAATATTGGACCTTCTAAGATTTAAAAAGGTGAGCGGAGAAGCCTGGTTTTAACAATTCTTTGGCAAAAGAATGAAGATTTGTTTCTCTCCCATAATTCAGAGTAATGGAAAAAGTACCACACCTATTAAATGCAAGGTGTAAGTCAAGATTTCAAAAGCTCACAGGAGAACTTATCCAGAGCTGGAGGAGACCTTGGAGGTAATTTATTCCAAACCTCTCATCTCACGGAAGAAAAAAGTGAGGTCCAGAAGGAAAGGGATTTGCCCAAAGACATACTGGCAGCAGAATCAAAATTTGAACTCGGCTCCTATGACTCCAAATTCAGTTCTTTCTCTAAACCAGCAAATAATCTACTACTTTAAAATAAGACAAAATTCGGGGCAGCTAGGTGGTGCAGTAGAAAGAGCACTGGTCCTGGATTCAGGAGGACCTGAGTTCAAATCCAGACTCAGACACAAAACACTCACTAGCTGTGTGACCCTGGGCAAGTCACTTAACCCCACTGCCTAGCAAAAAAAAAAAAAAAAGACAAAATTCTAGTAGAATTCATCGTAATAGGATCTGATCTGAAGCTTCAGAAATATCTTAGGCTTGCCGTCAAATATAAAAAAAAAAAGAGGCAGTAGAATGAACACTGGAATCTGGAGTCCAGATGCCTGGGTTTTCATTCTTGCTTTACTGGATGATCTGACGCCTGACCTCTCTGGGTTCTTTCCTCTATAAAACAAAGTTTGCTGGACTAGGTAATTTAATAAGCTTACTTCTATTTCCAAATTTAATGATTTTTGAAAATCTATAAGTCAGTCATATACATAAAATGAATTTTCCTTTTCTACAGAATATCAGGTGGCAGAGGAGTAAACATCAGAATACTGACTTCATCATGCATGTGCCAAAGTTAGCATTTTCTAGTTTCAATAAAATATGTAAGGATTTTTTCTTCATTCTTCCAACTTAACAAACATGATGACTTTATCCCTCCTGCTGGACCCCCTGAAAACCTCCATCAATGCCCAACATAAGTAGATGATCAAATTTAAAATAGTGAAGTAAGTGTGTTAATGTTATTTTACCAGAAATCTTGAAAGTCATTTTCAGTATGTTTTTCTTCATTAAAGTATGAAAAAATCAGGCACTTTCACTTGACATATGTAAAAACTATTAAGACAATTTGAGCAGCTGCATTTTTTTTCCTGGAAAAAAATATGAAGTACTTACCACAGATAAATTCCAAGATTATCCACATGGGAAGTGGCCAGAAAATCTCCAGTGGGAGACATAGTAAGACTGAGAGGTGCTGAATCCACCAAGAAACAGTCTATAAGGCTGGTAGGAGAAAAAAAATTCTTTAAGGGGAAGACAATGAAGAACTTTTTATGGTTTTCAAGCATCTAGAGGCCCCCTATGCTTTTTATCTCATTTATATTACATTTCACAATAATGGATATAATTTCCTCTTAGGTTTTGCTTAATGGAGGGACAGAGGTGAGACCTCACAAAGCAAGATTTCACTCTGGGCCATTTAGTGACACTGGTCTCATTATCAACACAACTATCCTAATTTACATGAAAATATTTTGTTCTCATCTCTAGTAGGCCAAGTTACTAATTAAAATTAACCAGACGAGGGGTGTGAATGTAGGGATAAAATTTTCTATTGCAAAAAAGATTGAAGGTCAGACATTGGAGAGCTCCTCCCTAATCCTCTACCATTTAAGGAGAGTAACCAGAGAATTCACCTCATCATTTCCCACCCAGCTTGAATACCCATCCCCACTCTTGGATTTCATGACCTCTAGAAACTCATCATTCTACAAGGATGAAATCAAATCTGAAAAGGATACCTCCTTAGCACTCTCTGCACCGAGGGTCCCTCCTTCCTCTGGTTGGAGAGGAGAAGCCTCTTAGGAGGCAAAATCTGAGGTCAGGTCTTCCTGACTCCAAGAACAGCACAGTTTTCTCTTATACCACCAAGCTTCCTCTACAACTATTCTACAGCTTCTTTTCTTTTTTTCTTTCTTTCTATTTTTTTTTTGCTTTTTGGTGAGGCAATCAGGCTTAAATGACTTGCCCAGTAAGTGTCAAGTGTCTAGTGCCAGATTTGAACTTAGGTCCTCTTGACTCCAAGGCTGGAGCTCTACCTACTGTGCCACCTAGCTGCCCTCCCATAGCTTATTTTCTTAAGAGAGTTATGAGAAGCACTGAAAGGTTAAGCAAGTGGTCCAGGGTTACCCAGACAATATAAGGACTTGAACCCAAGTCCTCTTGAAAATAGCCTAACTCTCTATTTATACAGTGACGCCTCTATCTTGCTTATAATAGGCAGATTAGGCAAAGTCGGTCCATAAACAAAGATTATATGGCAAATTTCTTAACATTTAAATTTCAATATTTGTTTCCTATCACAAGTCAAATGGAGTTTTAAAAGCCATTTGAAGGAAGATTTCTCTGGTCCTGTAGGGGTACCTACTTAAAGAAAGGTATGAGAGCTAAAAAACTGTCAAATCTGAGCCCTGTGATCCCAACCTTATCAAGTTAAAACTGGGCAAAAAAAGCTAAATCACAAATTTGTAAATTTGTTTTAAATATTCAAACTGTCCCAAATAAAAATTCACTATTTCGTGTAGTAAAGATTCAGCAGATGTCAGGATTTCTCATTTTAACTAATTTAAATAGCCGATATCACAGCAACTTCAACAAACTAGGCAGAAAATCAATTCAAATCACTTCTATTTCACAGCACAGTGTCAAGACAACAAAAGAAGACCAATATTCATTCAGTAAGGTGGTACGGAGAACACTGTTGTTGTTACTGTTGTTGTTGCTTGGTTATTTCAGCTACGTCTAACTCTTCATGATCCCATTTGGGGTTTTCTTGGCAAAGATAGTACAGTGGTTTGCCATTTCCTCCTTCAGCTCATTTTACAGATGATGAAACTGAGACAAACAAGGTTAAGTGACTTGCCCAGGGTCACACAACTAGTAAGTGTATTGAAGGCAGGACTCTAAGGGTTATGACAAGGGCTTTTTTGAAACCTGGAAAGTAAGGAGTTTCCAGTTATGAACAAAATTCCATAACTAATGAGGGCTTAACTTCATTAATAATTGCTTTTTTTTCTGTAGTACCTTTTAAACTCAGCATGTGTAATAGAAAATGCATCTCATCTTGATACTATCAAATGAATTGCATTATTTCTGTGTTTAACACAATCACAAGAAAACTGGAGTTTTCCTTTCTAAAGGTCAAACTGCTTCTAGATACAGATGAAAGATCCCATCCTTCAATCCTCTTCCTAACATGAAAGAAGGAGGCCAAAGTGGACAGGGTTCAACCTGGGGATATGGTAAATAATAAAAGCTATTATCTCCTACCTAGCCTTTCTACCTTTTCTTTTCCTTTTTTTTCCAGAGATTTAACTACTATAGAAAACAATCCTTTATCTATTTTCCTACCCTATCCTCAGGTTTATACTCCAGTAGTGGAATTCTCATTAGGTGAACACATGAAAGTCATATATAATTCTTCATTAACCTTTCTGAGATAGTGAGATAGCTATTAAATACTTAATTCCAGGGTCAAAAGCAAAGACTCTTTCCACAGTGGCTTAATACACAGACAAATAAGTTTCATACAAAGCTAAGAATTCTATTACAAATTTACTCACCACCCAGATGGAAGATCCCAAATCCTAATTGAGCAATCCATTGAACCGCTTATTAACCAACGACCATCAGGACTGAAAGCCTTTAAAACAAAATTAATAAAATGCTCATTTTATAAGTGCTAAGCAGTCCAAAAGACAACAGAAATGATTAAGAATTCAATTAATCACCAAGAATTTATTAAGCACCCACCATAGCACTATACATTGGAGACTATACTAGGCCCTGAGAAATACAAAGACAAAAATGAAAGATGCCACCTTCACTGGCTAAGAGGCTCACTGGCATGGTGGACAGACCACTGGGTTTAGAATTAGGAAGACTCATCTTCCTGAGCTCAAATTCGGCCTCATACTTACTAGGTGTGTGTCCCTGGTCAAGTCACTTAACCCCATTTGCCTCAGTTCCTCATCAGTAAAATGAGCTAGAGAAAGAAATGGCAAACCACTCCACTATCTTTGCCAAAACAAACAAACAAAAAAACCCCCAAACGGCATCATGAAGAGTCAGAAATGACTGAGCAACAACCAACAACAAATTCTAAGGGCGAAAAATCTACATACACATATACAACATAACATAAGGTAATGAGGTTGGGGGGGGGAGAAGCACTGACAGTTGGCAGGGGGTGGGGATGGTTATAGAAGGTCTCCAAATAGGAGGTGTCATTTGAATGAGACATCTTAAGCAAGAGGGAGGAAGTTAAGAAATAATTTAAATAAAATTTAGGCTGTCACAACTTATAAACAGTAAAATTTTATGAATTAAAGAGAAAAGCAAGCTTTTATAGTAGTGAAGTGCTGAGCTAGAAGTGATGGGTTCGAGACCCACACCTGCCATTAATTGTCAAATGAGAGGGATGAAAACACTCTCTAAGGTCTTTCCCAGGCCAAAGACTTCAATGATTTGTTGTTGTTGTCTGTTTTCAAAATAAGGATGGGATTTTGTACTGCTGTCTATGAAGGAAGGTACTGATTTATCAGATTAAGAGTGGAACTAGAGTACTAGCGTACTTCTCTACCATTCTAAAAGTACTAGAGTATTTTTAACCACACCTAGAAAAAGAAAAATTGATATGCTAGTAATAAACCACTCATCACAGCTATTCTCCAAAACACTCTATTAACTACTCATTACATAGCAATTTGTAAACATTAAAGTACTTTGATTCAAATTACTTCTTTTTCACAGCACAAGTGTCAAGCAAACAGGAGATGACCGACCATTCTTGTACGACAGATGCATGTTGCAGATGAAAAAATGAAGATTCAGAGTCACAGAACTGTTTGGAGTCAGAACTTGTATCAAGATTCACTTAACTTCAAGTCTAATGTGCTTTCCCACTAAATCATCCTGCTTAAACATTTGTTAGCTTAATTCCAATAGTGGAATGAATGTAATCTCGTAGGAGAGGTGCTGTCTCACTTAGGCACTTGAAATGAAAACTGTATTTCTTTGATATATCTTCTAATTCAGACTATCATTCCCCTGAATCAATACAAATAAGTAAAGCTTTAGATGAGAAAAAATATAAATTTTCTGAAATAAAGTTTCTAAACAACTAAGAACTAAGACTATTTCCAATTTTGTTTATTTATAGCTTATGTTAAAAAGCTATTTTCTTCCTTGCTCAGGAAGCATTATTTTATTCTGCAATGTTTTGGGAGGACCAATTAGAAATCTGTGAAAAATAAAACTCATAGGTGGGTAAAGCTATAGCAAAAGAACAAAAATTATGAATTTTTATAATTCACAATACCTCTAGGCTTGGCTACAAGCACCAGCATTGTCTACCTTCCTATACATATCCAGGACACCAAAACTAGGTTTCAGGCTCTACCACTTACCTAGTCATATAACCTCTCACTGGCCCACAGGTTCCTCATCTATAACATGAGGGAGTAAAGAAGGTTGAACTGAATAAACTGTGTGGTCTCTTCTTGCTCTAAGTCTATGATATATGACTTAAAGTATGGGAAAGGCCTCTGAAAAAGTATAAATGACTATACTCAACACACTGGTATTGTTATACAGATATCCAGAACAAATGCAGCTCTCAAAGGTACCAATGGTATTTGTACACTGAATTTTAGTGGTGAAAAAAAGCATTATATATCAAATCCATTTTGTTCCCCAAATAAATATTAATTTCCCTTAGAAATTTTTAGACAAAAAAAATTAATCTTAGATTTCACAATGTTAAATGAATAGCTCCAATTCCTTAGAGAGCAAAAGCATGCTTTTTTTCCCTTTAAATTTACCCAAAATAACAAAAAAAAATATTATTTGGGCTATTTTCTCCCTTAGAAAACAACTGATCTTAGTTCTATAGTCAGCATAAATTTCTATATTCTTTCTATAATTTTAACCTTACTTGAATCCTTTTTAGGATATTCTACTTTCAAAAGGAAATTGAAAGGTCATTAAAAGTGACTTTTGTTCCATCAATGTTACCATGTCATTTATCTGGCCTTCATGTCCCAAAAATTCTCTGACCGTCCTTCTGGTTTCTATATCTACAACGTTTAGACTGAAGTCATCTGAGGCAATTCCCAGGATGCCACTGACAAAAGAAGTATATAATTTATAAGAAATTTTAAAAAACCAAAGACACACAAATCACAAAGACACACACAATAAAGACTATCTTCTATTACTAAATTTTACATCAGTAAAAATCAAATAAAATGTTCTATTATCTATAGCAGTGATACTAAATTTAAGATAAATCTAGTAAAGAGAATATAAACAAATTATAGATTTTTGCAGGAACATTACATAAAGATAAGAACAATGAACTCAACAACTATGCAAAAAAAGGTCATAATAATGGAAAAATCAAGTAGAAAAATGTAGCAAATGACATATGAACAGCCTGATGAATTACTCTCTATCTACCCATATATGTACAGAACTTCAAAGATCTTCGACTTCATCAATGTAGATTCTCCCTTAACTGATTCTCTATAACTTCACTAGTGGCTAAGGCCAAAAATGCCTTTTCATTCTATATGATAAAGGGAAGATATATCTCCAATATCTTAAAGTCCTTATTCCAGGTATTTTAATGTTGCATGGATAACAGGTAATACTCAGGATTCCCCAGCTGTTATATGCTCTTGTTATATAACTGGCCAATTCGTAATCATACGTTTTCCTGACACCAATTCTTGCATGAAGTCATCTGCAATAATATGCAGCAGCCTTCTTATGACCACCACAGCTCTCTTTTGCCCACTGGGTGACTTAAAATTTGGATTCTTCAGAGACTCTAGTGGTTCCTAAGGATGCAGCATCAATAGGCAAATACAAATATCTAAAAGATGGGTTTTTGTGTCCTTGAGATGTTTGGGACTGTTGAATATGCTGCATAATTTCCCTAATGGAATCCACCCTAATTTCTTCCTCCAATTCAATTTCGAGCACAACTATCATATCCACACCTTTCTGAGATGCAGAGACACAGATCACATTGACAGACTATATCAACAACACCTGGACAATAAGCACTCCATTTACTCTTCCATATGGGGATAGTTGGGCCTAACTTTTTTTTAGGTCAAAGAGCTTGTTAAGAGGAGATAAGGAGTTGTGGTGGGTCCTGAGTGTTCTGGGATTTGATGCAGTCAACAAACTGAAACCAGCATCTGGCACACAGCAAGTGCTTAATGAACAATGCTGTCTCGGTAGTTTATCTATCAAAGAACCTTGTATGACTTTCTCTGGATCAAACATGTTATTGAGAGAGTCTTTAAAACTGCATTTTGCTCTAAAATCAACAGGTTTTTTTTTTTAAGAATCAACAAAAAATAAATTAGTGAGATGCTGTATTTGCTACATTTTTCAATCAATTATGTAATTATGAAGATACGGCTGGTTGTAGAAAATTGTTTGCAAAAGTCAAGAACACTTGAGGACTCGTAGTAGTATTGTGACTCTTCTTCCTCCACTGATAACAAAATGTGTATCTGGTGATAGCTGAGGGACAAAGTTGGTGGTCAAAAATGATATTCAAGAAAAGGAAGGGACACTTCCACTTCTGGGAGCCAAGATGGGGGAGTAAGAAGTAAGTTGCCCTCACCTTCCCTTATTAACCTCTGAAAGCCCAGAAAATATCACTCCAGCCCCAGGCAGAGAAACATCCTACAGCAGCAAAACATCAGTCTGAAAAGAGCAAAAGAAAGCGAAAGGAGGGAAAGGCCCGGGTGAGCAGGCAACCTGCAGGGGCCAGACTACCCAATCCTACCCCTAGAGTTCCAGTGTTGCTGATTCCAGCCCAACACCAGGTGGGCTGCCAGCACCTGAGGCTCCAGCACACAGAGCCAGTGACCAGGCCCCCAGCTCCTAGCACAAGAAGCCTGGGTCAGTGCCCCCTGCCCCAGCAGGAGAGTTTTTTTTTTAATGACCAGGAAATAAGCAAACCCCATGAGCAGAAAGAAACATACTACAGATTCTTATTATGGGAACAGTGAAGATCAAGGCAGAAATTCTGAAGAGGACAACATTGTCAACAAACCCACATCTAGAACCTCAGAAAGGAATATGAACTGGTCTGAAGTCCAAAAAGCCTTCTTAGAAGAGCTCAAGAAGGATTTTAAAAGTCAAATAAGAGAGGCAGAAGAAAAATCGGGAAAAGGAAGGGAAAGATGTGCTCTGAATGGATCTAAATAAAATGAGCTCAATATCTATCATCCTCACTTCCCCAAAAGCATGCCTCTTCCTTTCCCCATATTTTCAAAGATATCCTTGATAGATCATTTTTATAAAGATTTCAGAGATGAGAAATTCAGCATACAAGTCAATACTCTCTTGATCACTTTCTTTAGAATGTAAGCTCTTTGAGAGAAGGGATTTTCATCCTTTGTTTTTTTTTTTTGTTTTTGTTTTTAAATATCTAGCACCTAACAGTGTCTTAGTACATAGGCACTTAATGCTTGTTTGTATCAGATCTTTTAAAAAACTGATCCCTCAATGCTTTAAAAACTGGCACAGATTTCTTCTATCTGTATCTGATACAGTCCAATTGTCTTTAAGTTCAATTTTTTTTAACTCATTATGAACTGAGGTGTTAGATTCTAAATGCAGTAGAGTACTGTCTTATATGATAAAAAAAAGTCTGTTCCATTTTTCATCTGTTTGTTGGTCTGCCTTCCTTTTTATCTAATGCTGATCTTGAGACGATTGATTTAATTGGGTCTAATCTATCACTAACATCAGGCAAGTCTACTATAGAATTTACCATTTGATATTTGGGAGATACAGGTGCTCACAATCTTCACTGTCAGAATTCAGATAATGCAATTGTTAAGGCACCGAGAGACAAAGTGATCTAATGGAGTGGAAGATACCAAAGACATGGAAAAAATCTCAGATCTTGTTAATACTGAAAAAAGGTGACTGAGAGAACTTCAAGATCTACCAACTTTATTATCCCATCTATAAAAAATTTTTTGAGAGTATCTATACATGAGTCAGGTGTATCCTCAATGAAGGTATATGCAAAAATAAATACAAGTGATGTGGAAGGGAAAGCACTAGATAGATGATTTCACGTAGAAGGTAACAACGGAGCTAACCTTTAGTTCTGAGAACTAGAGAAAAGGACAGAATGCATTTCTGGCATGGGAAAAAGCAAGGTTATAAGCACACAGGCAGGCAATTAAATAACTTGTATATGGAACTTAAGCTCAATGTGGAAGGGAACAAAGTGCAATAAAGCTGGAAAGGTAGGCTAGGTTATAAAAGGTGTTGAACATCAAACAAAGTAGTAATACAGAATCCCTGAAGTTTACTGAATAGGGGAGAATAGGGAAGGGATTGAATCCTATACACAGGGATTCTTTAGAGAGAAATAAGGAGTAATGATGAATGTGATCTACATTAATACTCATGAGCTCACACATTCTTCTAAAGTAAACTGAGGGGTGTGCTGCACATATAAATCAAGAGATATCACAAGTAATTTCTGCAAATAGTGAATGGAATGCTTGATACAAGTAACATCTTAAGTACTCAAATTGCTTTTGTACACATAATTCTGGTTCATGAATTAAATCTAATCAATTACTGTACTCAAAGAGTTTGTAGTCTAAGTTGGAAAGTTAAAAAAGACTCACCTGTCTCTATGCAGCAGTATGATACTTGGAGATGAACTTAGGTTTGTAGTGTGAATTAACATCTTACTCTTAAAGTTCCAAAATTTGAGTAATCCTTCACTACCAGCTGTAACTGTTAACTGGTTTAATCCATCTACTGCCACTCCTCTAACAGCACCTTCATGGGCTTTAAAGTAAAAACAAAAGAAAAATAAATATACACATACATATATACACACATAGTATAGATAAAAAAAAATAGCTTTCACATAAAAGTTCATTATTTCATTCAATAAATTATTAATGAATACCTATTATTAACTTCACTTTTTAAGAGGATGAAGTTAACAGAAATAATTATTCCATGTGCTCTTTATCACAACAAAATACTTTTAGGTAAGAAATAAAGCTGACATGAATCTCATTACTAAAGTAGTTCACACTGATTCCACAAAGATAATTCCAAGGATTATCAAAAGATGTTATGGTAAGTTTTCTGAAACCTGAACTCCACAAAATCTGAATTTTACAATTCATTCCATTTGAATATTGTGACATTAAAATTTATAAGACATTTAAAAATCAAGCCACATGTAAGGACCAAACTGAGAAATTACAGACTCTCAAAGAGTTGGAAGAAATCTCAGAGGCCACAATCTAATACATACCTTACAAGATTCTCCCCCGTAGGTACCTTACAAGATGATAATACAGTCTTTGCTTTAAGACCTTCAGGAGAAGGGGACTGGGGGGAGGGGATTCACAACTTCCTAAGGCAAGCCCATTTTAAATAGCTCTAATGCTATTCAAATTCTCATGGAGTGTGCTATGACTTAGCAAAGTCAAGCTAACTTTCAGTCTAAGCCTTGACAGTATCCTTTTAGAAAGTATGATACAATTTTGCAACAATTTAAATCCGCATTCTCTAAGCAGTATTTCTATCTCAGACGAAGTCGAACATTTTTACTAATTCATACAGTACACCAATTCTTTAGCAAGTTATCATTATTTCAGTTTTAAAAAATACTTCATCAAATTGAAATAATTGCAAATTTTTTAAAGTAATAAAATGTTACCTTTTTCCATTCCAAATGAACCTCGATGCATACCAGATTGCATATTATAGACATCAACCTTTCCTGATGTAAGACCAATTATAGCAAAATTTCCACAGGAAGTTATATCTATAGCCTTTGGAGAAAATTACAAGAAAAAAACTAAAAACAAATATAATAATGCATGGTTAATTAACTACTGCTATAGCTGAATTGAGACCTTAACAAGTATAGTTATTGAACTTGGGGATTAGAAAACCCAGGTTGGAATTCCTGCTGACACAAGCCTTTTGAACCTGGAAAAAAAAAATCACCTAACCTCTCATTCACCCCATCTAAAGCTGTGCCATCTTTTAATTAACTTCTTGTAAAAGCTATGCCTACTGTGTGTGTACGTATGAAAATATCTCTTCACCTCCTACTCCCCTCCTTCAATACATTGCAATTTGGCTTCTGCCTTGAATCTACTCTCTCAAAAGGTCACCAATTACTTCCTAACTGCCATATTTAATAGCCTTTTTTCAGTCTCCATCTTCCTTGAGGCATATACCCATTGTTCATACTATTTATTGTTCTCTCCTTCTGACACTCTCAAAAGATTATCTAACTTCTAACCATTTTACCTCTCTTTACTACCTATCTACACTACTCTTTTTATGCATACATCTGGCTACGTTACTCCTTTGTTCAAAAGTCTTCAGTGCTGCTCCAGTGTCTCCTATTTTCAAATTTATTTGCCTGTCCTTATCAAGGCCATCAGAACTTACAAGGTACTATGTTATATGAAATGTAACTTTTACACCATTACTGAAAGTGGTATGTGCTTTGCTCCCTCTTATTTCCCCGAATAACACCCTTGGGATACAGGGCAGAGATTTTTAATCTTTTGGTGTGTCCTGGACTCCTCAACCTTGAGAGAAGCCTTTGGACTCCTCAGAATGTTTTTACATCAATAAAATACAAAAGACCACAAAAGAAACCTTATATTGAAATACACTTATCTAACTTTCAACAAAGTTATTATAATATTGTAGCCCTCTGTCCAGCTGTCAACAGAAATTCAATTTCCCTCACCTATCCCCAATGAAAGCTGATAATGCCCTTCAGCACTGAGATCTTATAATCACAGAAATTAGGTACACAGCATAATATGTAAATATGACATAGATGTTAAAATATACATTTAAATTTTAAAAATAACTTCCATAGAAAAGGTCTTCTGGTTTATCCTAGGGTAACTGGAAAATTAAGTAACAAAAACACTTCAATTGATATGAATATTTAATTAATAGGGGCTTTATGTCACATAAAGTAATGTTAATTGTATTTAATGACAGTTTATTTTATATTTATTTTGCATATATTGATTCTATATATACTTATATATGTACATGTTATTAAAACCCCAGGAGTATGGATTGCTTAATTTTTTTGTTTTTGTATCCTCAGCAGCTAACACATTGTTGGGCACATACCAGGTACTTAATAAATGCTTGTTGATTGACTTTTAGAGGTCTCTTTACTAAAAAGAGAGCTGTTTTACTGCAACAGATATTATGCAATATTTATACTTTAAAGTTCTACTGGATAACAACAACAAAAATAAAAATAGCTAAGATAAAGTTCCCTGCAAAAAAGATCACGTACTGATGCAGTTGTGTTATGTTGTTTATCTTTCTTCCAATTTTCTGGTTTCAGAAAATAAGATCCCATGGTACATTTTTGGTAATTCCAAGTTGAACAAGAAAATCTTCCTTGATGGCAAGCAATGATTCCATCCCAGTCACTCTCACGAGCATTCTCTGAAACATAATTCAAACCATTATCAATCTTGAAATATCTGTGGGGAAAAAATATGTACTTTGTGAAAAAACGGGTATGATAATTTCTTAAATCAGTTTTTCAGAAGCTAACTAAAACCACTAATTTGTTACTTGCTATGTTCAATCTAACTAGGTACTGATAAGCCTATATTTTTGTGGGGTGATATGGATCAACAAATATTTATTAAGTACCTACTATGTGCTAGACACTATGCTAAGCACTGGTAAATAAAGATTAAAAAAAAAAAAACCTGCATATCAGGTCTAGAAAGTAGAGATAGTTTCATTCTTTGTATTTGTATTCCCAATTCCTAGCACAATGTCTTGCATATAGTAATAAAAGCATTTTCCTACCCACTAAGCACGTGGGTCCCTCTGTCGGGTGTGTGTGTTGCCTCTTGCAGATTGTATCAGCTGCTATGGGTTCAATTACTATCTCTACACAGTTGAAGTCTCCACACATCTAATATTCATTAAATCCTTACTTAAGTATTTAATGTACTGGGTGTAGAAATACAAAGAATGCAGGACAATCCTTGCCCTCAAGTAGCCTACATTCTATTGGGAGATAGAACATAAAGTAAATAGGTAAGTACATACTCAATAAATTATGGAAGTAGGGGCAGCTAGGTGACACTCACTAGCTGTGTGACTCTGAGCAAATCACTTAACCCCAACTGCCTCACAAAAAAAAAATAATAATAATTTATGGAAGGAGAAATTTGTTTGTTCCTATCTAAGATATTACTATCCCTCCAACCACATAAGTTGGCAACCTTGGAATCATCCTTAGTTCTTACCTCTTTCTGTGGCATCTTCCATATACAATCTGTCACCAAGCTTCGCTGACTATAACTGAACAATATGAATGCTGTTACTGCTTGGATAAGCTGGGAGTGACCAACTCGAATCCTTTTGGTTAGACAGAGGACCATCAGATCTGATCGCGAGCTCTGCCGCTGCCACTCTAAAGACCTCTATGTCTTATCATCTGTCCTGCTGCCACATCTTCCAGAACCCTTGGCACTGCTATCTGACCTAATGATGCAGTCCAAGAACCTCTGCCCTCCACCCAGCCGTAACACCCTTACTTTCCAGTCACCCTGAAGCTGAACTCACTTATATGTATTATCTCTCTCAAGTGTGAGAGTGTGAGCTCTTTGAGTGCAGGAACTGTCTTACTTTTTCTGTCTCCTCTACTGCTTAACACAGAAATGCTTAAAAATGCTTTTTCATTCATTTTTGAGTGACTAGAACTTAAGTATTCTTTTATCCACTTGATCTTTCCTCTGTACATAGTTAAAGCAGTCATTTTGGTGATTATGAATCTAATAGGTCATGGAATGTTCCAGGGCTTGAGGCAATCAGCACAATATCTTCTGCAAAGACCCTGGACATCCCACCACTCAACATGGGATTTTTCCTCCATTTGGACAAACTGAACACTGGGTGTTCACCATGACAGTGGAAAACACCTGTCAAGCACACGTCTGCTTTGGGCATCACTAATACTTGGAGGGACAAATAACATCTCTGGGCTTAGTATATTTCAAGGACCCTGGGATGATTTTAACATATTCATGAAAGATGTTTTGTTGGAAGAGACTTTAAGGAGTATGTATAAACTCCTTGAGAGAAGCGGCAGTTTTACCTTTTCTATTTGTATCCCCAAAGCTTAATATAGTGATTAGCATATAGCAAGGACTTAATAAATGCTTTTCCATTCATTCATTTATTTATAGGTTTTCTGATTATATTAAGTTTATCCAAATTAAATTCCTTCATATTCCATTTAAGTATGAAAATTATTTTCTACTACAAATACTAGCCTAACATTTTATCATGTATAGTATATTATCATAAAGAAAAATTTATGTGCTCAATGAAATTATTCTTCTATGTGCCTGTTAATAATTCCAAGTTTTAAAAGCACTTTAGGATTCAAATAATCTGTAAATGTTTATTCACATCAAGCTGCAACCTCTTTGGGTATTTTTTCTTGCCTTTCTGGTAGAATATCATTACTCACTCTGAAACATCAATTTTTCTCTATTAACTTGTAATCACTTCCTATTCTCCTTTCTAGATTGTCAAGTATCTCAAAATATGAATTTACCCAACAATAAAAATACTGCATTTATTATGTAGATACCATACTGCTCCTAAAATAGATCATATTTGATTGGCAATAATTCATCTCTATAGTACTTTAAAGTTTACAAAGCATTTTCCTCACACCCCTGTAAAGTAAGGCAATACAAGTATTATCATACTCATTTCATAGATAGAAAAACTAAGTCTTAAGTGATTTGCCCAGTCTCATGGTTATTAAGTGTCAGAAGCAAGATGAATCCAGTTGCTTTGGTAATAACTCCAAGGAACTTTATAACTTCCGTTATTATATTTCTGGGAATTATTTACATAAATGACTTTTACTTCAGATTATAGCAATTTTTTTTAATACGGCTCTTAGGTATGCTACAAAATAGGAAAATGCAACAAGAAAAACTCTACTGTATTAATAAGTAGAAAAGATGAAAAAATCCAATAACTCAAAAATATTAAGTACATAGTGGTAAACTGTGAATTTAAGTTTTGATTTACTAGCAAACAGTTTCACAGTCCAGACATTAATGTGACCTATTTTCGATGTGGAAACCAATGCACTCTTTATCCATCCTGCTGAAATCCTTCTTATCCTCAAAGACCAGTTTCAATGCCATCTCATTCATGAAGCCTTTCCTGAACCACCTAAATGGAAAGGATCTCTTGTATTTTGACCCTGGAAAACATTTTTTTTACGTATTTACATTTGAATTTAGTTATTTGTCAATATATCTCTTCACTACCAAAGTATCAGTTCCAGCACCTAACAGTACACTATTAATGATCTTGCATTGTAACATAATGATACAAATTAGTATCCAATTAGATAATAAGACAATCTAAGTATTCTTCAAAATACCATTGATTCTTAATATGGATGCCTCCCAAAATTTCTGCATATCATCAAAAGTCCTGTATGTCATCTTCTATGCTACCCCACAGCTCAAGAAAATCCTCATCTAATTACATCCAACATATGTTTTCAACCTATCCTCATCTGGCTAAGTAGCCCATGGTCATTTGGGAGAAGTAGCATGGACACAGTGCCCTGGGGGCTACACTTGAACTCAAGAAAACCTATGTTGAAACACTAGCTCAGGCATTTACTAGCTGTGTAAGCATAAGTCTTTGAGCCTTATTTTCCTCATCTGTAAAATGGAGATAATACCTGTAATATTTTCCTCAGAGTTATTATTATGAGGTTCAAACGAGATGTGCATCAAATGCTTTGCAAACTAAAAGCATTATATTATTGCTATATAGTACAGAGAACAACATTAAATGATTATTTTATAGTTGTAAATATATATTTAATATATATTTTTGTTTTATTTTATTAAATTCCAAAGAGACCAGCACAATGAAAGCACAAATCATTCCTTTAGTGAGTGAAATATAGTGATGGCACAAATCAGTACCAATTTTAAAAATACAAATTTGCCCTTTTCCTAGTCAGGCAAATGTTTTAAATCCCTAAAAATACTAATTTTCTAAAAAATAAAGTCAAAAAAATTTTAAGTCTACAAGATCAAAGAAATGGAATAGTTAACTTTAGGAATTAAAGAGGGCCTTTATGTTGAAACATTAAATTCCAAGGCCCTCATCCTGGAATTGTGATCTATATGGCTAATATACATAAATGAGAAGGTAGCACAATATTGGGAAAGAACAATAGATAAAGAATCAAGGGAACTTAACTACCTACTGATCTCAACTCTGCCACTATGTGATCTCAAGTAAGTCATATGGCCTACCTAAAAAGGAGGGGATTTAAGGTTTTTGAAGCTTCTTCAACAAAACCATGTATTCATTTGAAAAGTGTCTTAGTTCTTAGGATTAAGGGCAAATCACTACTAAGTATTTTTTAATTATGTCATTTGTGGAAAGAGGAGATGAGGTGGGGAATCAGCAAATCTGTAGGCTATAAATGAAAATAAAGAAAGAAGCTGAAATTTTTCAAACAGTACATTAAAGTTACCTGCTACGAATACTGTTATAGGTGGAAGTCTCATGGACTCACAATTCTTAAGGCCTTTACGTTTGGCTTGCTTTTTATTTATCATTCCTGGAAAATAACAATAAAAAAAATCAATGACTATCTCAATAATAAATTTGTATAAAAAGCATTTATTTTCACTAGTTTTTAACAATACATCTTACATAATATAGAAAATTTACTTTATATGTGACAATATGGAACAAGAATACTATGGACAAGCAACATTGCTAATTACCAACACTGACATTTCTACTCATGTCAACTTTAACGTATTTCTACAGAAATACTGACTCACCTTTACACAATGCTTTAAGATTTAAAAAGCATTTTCCTCAGAGGTATTATGGAAAGAGCATGGGACTAAGATGAGCCTGTGGGTTCTACTTTGGGCTCTGAGCTAATTAGCTGTGCAAACTTAATCAAGTCATTTGATCTTTCTGAAGTTTTCTAATTTGTAAAATGACAGGATTGGCCCAGATGATTTACAAGATCCAACAATGAGATTCTATAACCCTAATCTTAGGAGTAGGGAACCCTTTCCACCACCTTCCACTATACCAAATCCCCTCTGGTATCAGAAGTAATCAATTTCATTAAGGAATAGAAGAGACAAAGCCTGTGAAACTAGAGTATAGGTTCAACCGTGTCACTCCTCTCCTCAAATTTCAGTGTTTGCTTATCACCACTAGGATCAAATATAAAAAAATTCTATGTTCCTCATTCAGAGTCTTTTATAACCTAACTTCTTCCCAACTTTCCAATCCTCTTACACTTTACTCCCCAACATGTCCTCTTCAATCCACTGACAGGGGTCTTCCTGGTTGTTCCACAATTAAGATACTCCATCTCTTGGCTCCAGCATTTTCTGTGGCCATCCCAAACCTGAAATGCTCTCCCTTCTTCTACCCCAACTCCTGACCTTCCTGGTTTCTTAAAAAGAAAGCCCAGCTAAGTCCCAACTAAAATGCCATCTTTTACTTCAATCAGTAAACTTTTATTAAATGTCTATTATGTGCCAGGTGCTTTGCTAAGCATTAGGAATTTAAAAAAAAGAGAAAGAGGCAAAAGATAGTCCCTGCCCTCAGGAGCTTGCAATCTAATGGGGGAAGACAACATGCATATAAAACAAGCTATACACAGGCTATGTAGAAAATAATTAAAAGAGGGAAATCACTGGAACTCAGAGGTTTTAGGACGATTTCATATAGAAAGTGGGGTTTTAGCTGGGACTTAAAGGAAGCTAGGGGGTTGAGTAATTACAGCAGAGGCAGAAGAACATTCGATGCACAGGGGACAACCAGAGAAAATGCCTAGAGCTGAAAGATGGAGTGCCTTGTTTGTGAAATAGCCAAGAAGCCAGTATTACTAGATCGAAGGTATGTATTAGGGAGTAAGGTATAAGAAGACTAGAAAGGTAGAAGAGGCTAGGTTATGAAGGAATGTGAATGACAAATAAGGCATTTATATTTGCTCCTGAAGGCACTAAGAAGCCAATGTAGTTTCCTGAGTAAGGGATCAACGTGATCAGATCTGCATTTTAGGAAAATCACTTTAGTGGCTCAAGGGAGAATGGATTGGAGTGGGGAGAGACTTGAGGCAGGCAGAGCAACAGCAGGCTATTGTGTAATCAAGGTGATGAAAGCCTGCACTAGAGAGGTGGCTGTGTCAGAGCAGAAAAAGAGGTGTATACAAGAGATGCTGAAAAGGAGAAATCAACACGCCTGGACAAGAGACTGGATGTGGGGGCAGAGGGGAGAAAAGTCAAGGAGGGAGTTGAGAGACAGTGAGGAATCAACGATAACTCCTAGGTTGTGAGCCTGAAGGACTGGGAGGATAGTGTTGCTCTCTACAGCAATGGAGAAGGTAGGAAGCGGAAGGATTTGGGGGGAATGATATTAAGTTCTGTTTTGGACACGGTACATTCAAAATGTCTACTGGCCATTCGGTTTGAAATGTCTGAAAGGCAATTAAAGATGTGAGATTGGAGAGACTTGGGGCAGGAAAAGTGGATTTGACAATCATCAAAATAAAGATGGTAATTTAATTCATGAGAGCTGATGAGAACACTAAGTGAACTATTACAGAGGGAGAAGAGAAGAAGATCCAGGACAGAATCCTGAGGGAAATCTATGGTTGGAGGACATGATCTAGAGGATCCAGCAAAGGAGACAGAGAAGAGGTCAGATAAGTAGGAGAAAAATCAGGAGAGTGAAGTGTCTTGAAAACCTAAAGAGAATAGAGTACCAAAGAAAAGAGAGTGACAGTGCCAAAGGTTACAGAAAGGTCAAGGATAATGAGGATTAACAAAAGGTCATTGGATTTGGCAACTAAGAGATCAAATAGTAACTTTGGAGAGAATAGTTTAAGTGGAATAATAAGGTCAGAAGCCAGACTGTAAGAGGTTAAGAAGAAAGTGAGAAGAGAGAAAGTGGAGGTACCTATTGTAGACAACAGGTCTTTCAATGAGTTTAGCTACAAAGGGCAGAAGAGAAATACAACAATAGTTAGCAGGGATGAAATGATCAAGTAAGGGTTTCATCAGAGGGGGCAATCTTTTGGTGGAAATGGAATGGCAGAGTAAGGCCACTTAATCATGTGCCTTCCTCTTTTAATTATTTCCTATTTATCCTGTATATAGTTTATTTGTACACATTTGTTTTTGTTGACTCCCCATTAGATTGTGAGCTCACTGAGGGCAGGGACTGTCTTTTGATGCTTTTTATATCCTTGGTTCTTTGCATCCTCAGATGAATACTAGCACACACTAAGTGCTTAATAATGTTTACTGACTGAATGAAACAGGGGATAAACTATACTTTCCAAGGTCCCATGGGAAAGGACGCCTCAGAAAGATAATAAAATGACACTTTAGATTCAAGACCAGCTTTCACCTTGTTATTAACTTACCCTGTCCCAAATTCTTGTTGTATTTTTCATGAATTGTGGAAAATGACTGCAAAGTACCATCATGACCTAAAAAAACATAAAAAAGTCAAGTTACAAATGACAGCAACTTGAATTAAAGACCTGATCAAGTCAGATACAAAAATCCTCAACCCCCAAATATGTGACATTTTAGGGAAAAGTAGCCTTATAAATATACCATAAAAGCATTCAACTACATCATGAGAGAATGTTAATGCACAAAGGTAAACTAAGAATTTTCAGTGCAATCTGAATTTAACGTTCAAAGCCTACATCACTAGATGTTGAAATTAATGACTGAATCTTGATAGACTAATGAAACAGGTGAGGTATAAAAAATTATTAAAGTTACCATTAAGGTGGCCAAAAAGAACTTTAAGTCTTAAAATCAAAAAAAGGCTTAAACATAGTGTACAACACAGGGTAAATGTTTACTAAATACTTATCAAAGTACTAAAATGAATGCAAAATTGAAGTTATGTAATATAAAATACTCTTACTTGCACTAAGAATTTGCTGTCCATTTTGTCCATAGTATCTAATTTTAGTTATAGGAGCACTATGACCCATTCTGAATTTCAAAAGCCGACCTTCACCTGCAGTACTGTCAAATATCCAAATCTGTAATAATAATTTTTAAAAAGCACAGCATTGACAATATTAGTTTCTGAAAGATTGATTACCACAAATTGACACTGCAAAATGCTTACCAGAAATTGGCATCACAGAATTTCTAAAGTTGAAAAGGGTCTCTATGTCCAATCTAATTGCCTCTAAAATATGACTGAAAAGTAGTAATCTAGCTTTTCTTTTTCCAGCTTTGTGGCCAAAGTATTTAAGCTTCGGTTTCAGTATCTGACTTTCCCATGAATAGCGTGAATTAATTCCTTTAAGTATTGACTGATTTGATCTCCTTGCTGTCCAAGGGACTCTCAAAAGACTTCTCCAAGAAGGAAAGAATTTATGACCAAACAAGAGATAGAGAACATTATGAAATGCAATATGGATGACTTTGATTACATTAAATTGAAAAGTTTCTGCACAAAGCCAATGCAATCAAGATAAGAAGGTAAGCAGAAAGCTGATAAACAATTTTTACAGCCAGTGTCTCTGATAAAGGTCTCATTTCTAAAATATATAGAGAACTGAGTTGAATTTATAAGAATACAACTCATTACCCAATAAATGGTCAAAGGAAATGAATAGGCAGTTTTCAGAGGAAGAAATTAAAGCTATCCATAGTCACATGAAAAAATGCTTTAAATCACTATTGATTAGAGAAATGCAAATCAAAACAACTCTTGAGGTACCACAACACACCTATCAGACTGGCTAACATGACAAAACACGAAAATGATAAACGTTGGAGAAGACGTGGGAAAACTGGAACACTAATGCATGTTGGTGGAGTCGTGAACTGATTCAACCATTCTGGAGAGCAATTTGGAACTATGCCTAAAGGGATATAAAATTGTGCATATCCTTCGACCCAGCAATACCACCTCTAGGTCTGTATACCAAAGAGATTATAAAAATGGAAAAAGGACCCACATGCACAAAAATATTTATAGCAGCTCTCTGTGTGATGGCAAAGAATTGGAAATTGGGGGGAATGTTCATCAATTGGGGAATGGTTAAACAAGTTGTGGTATATGAATGTAACAGAATACTACTGTGCTATAAGAAATGATGAGCAGGCAGACTTCAGAAAAACCTGGAAGGACTTATTACATGAACTGATGCTGAGTGAAGTGAGCAGAACCAGAAGAACACTGTACATAGTAACAGCCATATTATGTGATGACTGACTTTGATAGACTTGGCTCTTCTTAGCAATGCAAGGATCTAAGACAACTCCAAAAGACTCATGACGGAAATGCCATACAAATCCAGAAAAAGAACCATGGAGTCTGAATGCAAATGGAAACATACTATTTGTTCTCCTTTTCTTTTGTTATTTTATTTCTTCTTTCTCGTTGTTCCTCCCATTAGTTCTAACTCTTCTATACATCATGACTAATGTGAAAATATCCTTAATATAAATGTATAAGTACAGCCTATATCAGATTACACACCATCTTGGGGAGGGGGGAGGAGAGGGAAAGGGAGAAAATTTAAAATTCAAAATTTTATGGAAGTGAATGGTGAAAACTAAAAATAAATAAATTATTTTTTAAAAAAAGGGGAAGAAAATAGGTTTCATATGTTGAGCCTATATCAATTTACATGGAGTAGGGGGAGGTGGGAGATGGGGAGAAAATTTGGAGAAGATTTTACAGAAGTGAATGTTGAAAACTAAAAATTAATAAATTTTTTAAAAAATCGAATCAAATTTTTTTTAAAAAGCGAAGGGACTTTAGAAATTTTCTGGGTCATCCTCAATATCAGACATAAGGAAGATTAAGTAACTTGCCAAAGATCAGGAAAGTACTAAATGGCAGAGCCAGGATTCAAACTCAGGTCCCCTAACTCCAATTCTAGGGCTCTTCATGCTATTTATGCTATTTCCCTACTCACAGAAGCTATGCCTCTCTTAATGTAAGCTAAGACCACATTTTTTTGTGGCTTTCTTAGCTGCTATATCACCCAGAGAACACATACTAAGCTTACAGTACACTGAAATGCATAGATCTTTTTCCTTCCTTTCTAATCATGCCTTCTATTTCTCAAAAAAATTTAACCCAAATGTAAAACTTCACATTCATTACCATCCAATTTAATCTTAGAATTATCCAATGTTCCTGCCTATTCAGATCTTTTTTAATCCTTTTTGACTATCATCCAATTTGTTTAGCTCTCTCTATAGTCAACAACAACAGCATTTTCTGGACTACCATGTTTATTCCTGAGGTTTCTCTGGAGCAGAAAAGTATTATCATATGGCTCCTAATATTATAATTTCATTGCAACCTTTTCTCTTAAGTTAAAGACAACATAGTAAAAAAAGAATCGGCTGGGTTGATCAATTATAAGTATGCCAAAAAAAAAAAAGAAATCCTACCCTCAGGGCATTATCAGCACCATTAGTAAGGAGAAGTGGCTCTCCATGGAGAAATGTCAGACCAGCAATTGCTGTGGAATGAGCATTTCTCATTTGATTGATTAGTTTTCTCTCTTCCAGGTCCCAGAGACTGATATGACCAAGTGGGCTACCAGATGCCATTACTGGATGTCCATCTACATTTAAAAACAACACAACAACAAAATACAATTAAGTATTCTATATATAATTATAAACTCCTTAAAGATAATTAAAATATAAAAAATATCCACCTCCTCAAAAAAAAATTCAATTGTTAGAAATAAATTGCAAGTGGATGTTTGATAAAGAGGATAAAACTGAAAAACTGAGGATATCCTTATATATGATCATCTCTACTCTTTTGTGAACTTCTACTACAGTATAGGATTCACACAGATTATAAGAAAACACTATTTAGAAAATTTCCTATTATTATCAAATTTGTATAAGAACTTTTTATAAAGGATATTACTGTCAAATTTGTAAAAGAACTTCTTTTTATAAAGGATAAAATATACCTGTGCGGAAAGAAATTGAAGTGACGGGACCCCAATCTTGGCGAAACTTCATCAGTGTTTCATCAAATTTAATGTTGTGGATAATAATCTGACCAGATACAAGTCCAACTGCAATGACATCCACTGCAGGTGCCTAAAAATTACATAATTAAACCCCCCCAAAAATTTTTTTTTAAATCCAAATTTAATTGATTTAGCAGTATCATCTTGTCATATCCCCCTAACCCCAGATTATCAAAAGGTTTCATAATATCTTTTTCTGGGAATGTTTAAACAACACAAAGTTAGAGAGTTAAGAGGAACCTTAAAAGTGATTCTAGTCTAATCCCCAAATTAGTGAGTTTGTCTATATAATGTGCTTCTCTCTAGGCAAACACGTAGACAATTACAGAGAACAGATCTACAGAGAAGCACACATCCAGTATCTGTTTGGGTATAAATGTGTACAAAAGAAGTCAGTTATTAGAGTTGGGCCAGAGTTTATCTCATTTCTATAGAAGGTATTCCAAAAATCATCTTTTCCAAGTTTATCAAGATAAAGGAAAACAGTTCTTTCCAGGGTAAGCTTAAACTGGATGAAGGGTTAGGCTACATGATTCCAAACAATCAACATTCAACATCATTACTTTTATTCTAGTAATAACTTTTTTCAAACAGATCAATGGCATTTAGTTACAACCCAAAACAAGCCCAGCACTGTACAATCCTACAAGAAAGTTAGCACAGGAAAACAATAGTTTCACAGATGCCAACACAGGTCTCAATTTTTTCCTCAAATGCTAATAGATGTAGAAATTGCATCTTTAAAAAAAAAACTGAATTTAATTGGTATCCTTTATTTTAAAATTACACTCATTTCCAAATATATCCCTCTCCCCTCCCCTAATTCATCGAGACATCACATGTAACAAAGATTTTAAAAGGTGGAAAAAAACAGTTCAGTGAAACTAATACATCAACTGCATATGCAGAATTTCACATTCATAATTGCCCACGAAGAATTGTTTCTCTTCATTTTAAATTATTTTAAATTCCACATTTCCAAAGCACTATTTTTTTCATTCCAAAAGTCACAGGCATCAAAATAACAAATTACACATCAAACTGCCTTAAACATAGAGGTGTTCCTCAAAATATAGAAAAGCATATATATAACACTTATTTCTTAACAGAAAAAAATACTAACCTGTTGGAGAGCTGTCACTGCAAGATTCCATCCTGGAAATGTATACAGAAGTTTGCTATATGGAGAAAAAAAACTACTTAAAACACTAATTTTGAAGGGCAAATATCAAATGCTTAGAAAACATGGAAAGTTAAAGTCTAACATAGTGCCTTTCACCTAGCAAGTATTCAATAAATTTGATGAATTGAATACTTATTAAATTTAAAAGCTGGGCAAAGCCACAAGCAGTAACTGTTGTAATTATGTATCCAAATAAAGAACATTCTCTTTTAGAATATCACTGTAAGCCTTTTCCCACTTTTAGCTACCAAATAGTCGGAAACAACATAAGATAGATCATTAAAACAGATTACATTCCCCCACAGCAAAAATGTTCTTAGTGGAGACTGTGTACTTGTTCTAGAACTTGGCATGAAATGAACCACAGACACAAACAAAAATGTGTTATGAAATAAAAAATATAACTGCACCTCTGTGTGATCATTCAAACTAGTGAAATCATGCTACATGTAGTCATGTAAAAATAGGTTTATTATGCAAACTGATTATATAAGAAGTTTCAACATACTAACATGTACATTTATTAGTTAATACAACCCAACCTAAAACTATTATGCTAGCTATGCAAAGCACTAAACATTTAATTTACAATCATTGTTACCTTCTTAGAATTAAGAAGGACTTTAAAGGAAAGATTGAGAAGCAAAGTCTCTTAAATTTCCAAGGAACCTTGAAATGATGTTTTCCTTCTCTTTCTTACCAACCTTCAATTAACTTGTAAGAAAGATATGTATTATAAAACCATTCTGTGTTCTTAGAAATGCCTCAAAATACTGCAGCAATATGAATCTTGTTACTATTACTGAGGAAAGCTCTTATCCAACATTTCTCAAGTTCATACTCTTATTTTTCTTCTTCTTCAGTTTATTCAAAGTTCACTCAGACCAAATAAAAGCCACCTCTGTATTTCATACTTGACTACAGAACCTTAAGAACACATCAAAGTCAGTTGTATGGACTTTATAAAGGAACTTTAAAATATTTTTCACTAGAAAATTACCAAGACAGGTCTGTCTAGATTTTACTAAATAAACACAACTAGCTATTGGTTAGGAGTACTAGTTGCTAAACGAATGGAACACAAGCTGAAAGGTGGGGAGATGCTTGAAATAATTAGAAATATTCTTACTTGGATTTAATATTCCACAACTGCAGGCTTCCTTGCTCACTCCCAAGGAGAATTTTGTTCAAGTAGGTACTTGGATGCAAAATGGCAGAAATCTTAAAAACAGCCTTATCAAAGGTCAACTGCAGGTACTTCTCTGCAAACAGGGGGACAGTTTAAAGAACAAAGCAAAATAATTTCAGCAAAAATCCAGTATTTCTTCCATATACCTAATACTAAGAGTAAGTAAATTTTAAAATTTAGATTTGTTACAAATTCACCTGTAAGAGTTCTCTGATGGGGTAAACAAACATAGTTAAGATGGAAACAATGAATACCAAGATTATTAAGAAAAATTGTTCTTATCTGGAATGGAGTAAAAATTTGACATTGATATAGAACTGGTTTAGAGGTAGGAAATAGAAAAAGAGATTATGTTAAAGAAAACACTTCCCTAGATGTAGAACTATAGCAGCAAACCTGATCTATTTGCTAATTACATCTTTACTTCATATTTTATAACTGATTTAAGACAGTCTGCATAGAATTGAATTCTCCAAGATACATATGATGCTAGGGTACTCCAGCTAATAATATATTAAATTAATGGAAGTAAAATCAACAATGATTTATTGTGCTTATAGTTTGGGATACAAAGAATGACACCCCCCCCCCCAAAAAAAACCAAAAATCAGTTCATGTTCTAAAGGAACTGTTTGGTAGGAGAGACAACATGCAAATAACCATGTGACAGACAGGATAAATGAAAGATAATCACAGGGAGAAGGCACTAGCATTAAGAAGGATCAAGAAGCTGTGATTTTATCTTGGACCTAAAAGGAAGCCAGGAGATAAGAAATGAAGGAGAGAATTTCAGGTATGGGGGACAGTGAGTAAAAATGCAAAGTCAAAGGTAATAGGTCCATAAATGTTGCACATTGCACATATTTTTAAACACCTTCAATATATTAATCAATCGTGCAGAATTTTTCCTCTACTTTAATCTTTTTTTGCTTTAAAAATATGCTATTTGTTATGTGGGATGGCTTTCCCATTCCACAGGGGGGAAAAGAAGAGAATGAGGGAAATTATGGTAATGTAAAAACATAAAAAACTACAATAAGAATTTATCCATGGGGAAAAAAAAAGAAAATACACAGTCAGGAGATGGAGTGTCATTCAGGCAAACAGCCAGGAGAGATCAGTGTCACTGTTATCTCAGAGTACTAGGGAGTAAGGAATAAGAATAGAAAGGTAAGAAGAGGCCAGGTTATGAAGGTCTTCAAATACAAATAGAGGGCTTTATATTTGCTCTAGGAGATGAAAGGGAGTTTATTGAATGGGGAGGTGTAACCTGGTCAGACCTGTGCTTTTTTTTTTTTTAACTTACTTTAACATGCATTTCTAAATTTTGAGTTCCAACTTTTCTCCTTCCCTCCAGCCCCTCTCCTACACACTAATAACACAAGCATTATTAATACCCATTATACATATGAAGTTACGCAAAATATATTTCCAAAATAAAGTAAAAAAATACATTTCAACTTATACTTGGAGCTCATCAATTCTCTCTCTGCAGGTGCATAGCATTTTCTATCATAAGTCCTTTGGACTGTCAGGATCATTGTACTGATCAGAGCAGCTAAAGTTTTTCACAGCTGATTATCATTACAATATTGTTGTTACTGAGTACAATGTTCTCCTAGTTCTACTCACTTCACTTTGCATCAGTCCATACAAATCTTCCCAGGTTTTTAAAAAGTCTTCCCAAGTTTTGTTGACATGTACTTTATAGTAACATCAATTTGACAGAGGGGATGATGGCTTGGAGTGGGGAGAGACTTGAAGCAGAGAGACCAACCAGGAGGCTATTCCAATAGTCCAGGTGTGAGGTAATAAGGGAGTGCACCAGAGTGGTAACAATGTCAGAGGAGAGAAGAAGGTGTTTAAAAGAGAAGTTACAAAAGGCAGAATCAATAGGACTTACCAGTCACGTGCTGGATGTGGAGGATGAGAAAAAGGGAGCTGAAGTTGATAACTAGGTTGTGAGCCTGGGTGACTGAGAAGATGGTGGTGCCCTTACCAGTAATAAGGATGTGAGAAAGAGGTTGCGTTTGGAGAGGATAAATAATTAGTTTTGGGGCATGCTACGTTTAAGATGTCTATGGACCAACCAGTCTGAGATGTTCCAGAGGTATCTGGAGATGCAAGACTGGAGAAGGTTAGGCAAGAGGTTAGGGTTGGATGAAGAGATCTGAGAATCATCTTCACAGAGATGATAACTGAATCAATTGGAGCTGATGAAATCACCAAGTGAAATAGAACAGTGGCCTTGACCTTTAAAAAAGTTATTTCAAGACAAATTACTTTACATATGAGTAGCAAACTTTCAGTAACTTGTTACTCTAAGAGGTAGTACAATGTGAAAATATAAAAGTTTGAAGAGGATTCAAATAAATTTTATGGATGATGGATCTATGAATCATGAAGGGAAGTTGGGGATGTTCTGGACCTCAACCTCAAATCTTCTGAGGTTGACTTGACGATTTAATTCCACAAATGTCCCTTGGTGCCAGTGTCAAAGATAAGATACCAACGGAAATGGATGTAGGTCTGACCCAGTAGAACAATAGCATATATAACCAGCCAAGATTATTTCCAAAGTCTCCTTTATTAGTAATCTGTATTTATGCACTCTTTTAAAAAAAGACCTTCATTCCAGAACTATGCAGGGATGAGAAACCAAATATGGTTATCTGACAACTTAAACATAAAATGTAACAATTTACTAAACTCTGGGAATGTCAATAATTAAATTATATTTCTAGAAAACAAGTAACATAAAAAATCAGATAGACAAGCTATCAAAATTGTGATTTTGGTTGCTGCTTGAAAATTTAATCAATGGAAGGAAATGGAGTAATTCTTTTACTGTAAAAAATATTTATTGCTAATGCTGATAGCCCTCCATAAAAGATTAACCACCTAAAGATTTATTTACTCCCATCCCAAGTTAAATAAATTGCATAATGTTCATTCTTACCTTCTGAATATACATGCCAAATAATGAGAATACTGTCTGTATCAATAGAGATGACATGATCCCCAAAGTGCTGTAAGAGGTGAATTTCTGCATTGTGACCCCTGAAGGTATGTGCTACCTATAACATCAAAAGTTCAAAATGTTTCCATTAGGTTTGCTAATTCAGAAAATGTTAGTAATATTAGAAAACATAAAAACAACCATGCTATTTAAACTTTTTTTTTTTAGTGAGGCAATCGGGGTTAAGTGACTTGCCCAAGGTCACTATTTAAACTTTTTATATAAATTCTTCTTAAAGTAATAACAAACGAAAGGCAGGGAGGACCCTGCCTTAAAATCCTATTTTTATACATCATGTACCATAGAGGTGATCTTGGATTTTCAGACACTATATTAATCAAACGATACAAAGCCAAAATGAACCAGTCTTTGCCTTTGATGAGTTTACAATCCAAACCTGACAACATACACACCTAGGAAGCTCTTGCAATAATGCAGATGAAAGGTGATAAGGGCCTGAACCTGACTGGCAGCTTCATTAGTAAAAGAAGAAGGGGATAGATGACATGGAAGTAGAAACAACAAGACTTGGCAACTCATTGGGTATGTGACATGAGTTAATGTGAGAAGTTGAGAATGACAACAAAGTTGTAAACTTGAGACTGAAAGGATGGTGGTGTCCTCAACAGAGAGAGGGAAATGTGTAAAAAGATTGGTTTTTGGAGAAAATACAATGAGATACACTGAATTTGAGATGCCTACAGGATATCCAGCTCAAAATGTCCAAGCAGTTTGTGATAATAAAGGATCACAGATCAGAAGAAAAACTAAGGCTGATTACACATATCTGGAAGTAATCAGGACAGAGATGATATTTAAACCCATGTAAGCTGATATGGTCCCTAAGAGACAGACTATATTAAAGACAGCCCAGGGCAGTCTTGAGGGTACACCAACAAGTGAAAGACACCATAAGAATGAGGACATAGCAAGGGACACTCAGAAGAAATGGTCAGAAAGGGAGAAGAACCAAGAGAGAAAGAAAGAGTACTGGACAGGTCTTATCAAGCTAAAAAGGTTTCAGGTATAAACCTAGTGACAAACTAGGGGGTCTTACAGCAGGGGTTCTTAAACTGGGGTCTGTGAACTTGGTTTAAGTATTTTGATAACTGTATTTCAATGTAGTTGGTTTCCATTATAATCCTAAATATTTCATTTTATGCATTTAAAAACACTATTCTGAGAACACAATAAAGGTTAAAAACCTTTATATTCAGATTAGCATGGTTGGTAACCAGGTACTGATTTTAATTTGGCTCTAGAAACTCATTAAGACATGAGAGATCCACAAAAACTTACTGAATACCTGTTTATAATTGATTTACAACATTAGATAAGATAAAGCTGTTTGTAGAAATTACAGACTAGTAGGATGAGATGACATATACACATATAACACATAAAAGACGCAGAGTTAGAAGCTATATGGAATCCAAGGCACTGGGGACTGGGGGTGGTGGAAAAGGCTTTCAGCTGGATTCAAAATTAACTTTAATGGAGCGCTTGTGTAACATTAAGAACCTTGTCAAAAATCACAGACCACAGAGTGGCTAAAGTATAGAGCTACCAGGGTAATCAATATTGCCACTTCTCTTATCTCATTATATTGTACTACATAGCTAAGGCACTCTTTTCCATCCTAGACAATTAGTGAAGTGATAATATAGTATTTTGGTCCAGAATAGGATCTGCCTGAGAATGAGGAAGATGGGTAATTTAACTCCCTCCCAGGTCTACCAAGGTGGAAAAACAGCAAGGTTCCTGAGAAGCTGACAGAAGAAACAAGCTGCACTCATTATTTTTCCTCCGTTACAATTCACCATATGAAATAGATAAATTAAAATATTTCCTGAATAAGTGATACAAACCTCTTTGTTTCGGGAAAATGCAGAGAAAACATTCCCATATGCAGCAAAGACCAGCCTCCCATCAGCTGCCAAGCAAGTGATATCCTGAGGTACAGAATTGCCTAAGAGGGAACAAACAAGAAAAGAGTTAATTATTTTTTCCAAGTCTTAATATAAAATAAGAAAATATTCTACCTTGCTTTCCACATGCTTCATGGGGCATGGGGATAAACTGCAGTCCCTGCTACCTGGGTAGCTGAGACTTTAGCTTTCAGAGTCCCAAGTTACAATAGAGCTAAAGCCAATTTGGTGTCCATACTAAATGTAACCTCTATATATATGGTACAGCCCCTTCCTTTCCTTCCCGTCAGGGACCTCCTAGTTGCCTGAGGAGCCATGAACTGGCCCAAGCTTCTATGCCATTTAGCCATCGAATCAGGCCCACTTCCAGCATGGGTAGGATGGTAAGTCAATTTCAATAACAAAAAGATATAACATGTTTCAAGACTAGTCATGGCAGGAGAGTGGGAAGGTAAATGAACAAGTAAATAATGTAAGATAAGAAAAAAAATGCAAAACTCTAATAACCCTAATGCTTCTCCCATATAAAAATGATTTCCATGAAATAGTTTTCTTATTTATTGAAAATATAAAAAGCACTCCACATATATAATTGACATCATCATGCTTGCCTTCTCAATGGGTGTGTAGGGGGTTAGGGCAGGGGTGGGGAACCTGTGGCCTCAAGGCCACATGTGGCCCTCTAGGTCCTCAAGTGTGGCCCTTTGACTGTTTGGATTCTGTCAAAGGGTTGCACTTGAGGACCTACAGGGCCATATGTGGCCTTGGGGCCACAGGTCCCCCACCCCTTGTAGAGTGATGGAGAGAATTTGGAACTCAATTTTTAAAAAAATGAATGCTAAAATAAATAATCAAAAAAGAAAACATAAAAAGCAATCCTCAATTTTACAAATGACATTTTAAAAAAAAACTCACATTCAGTTACATCATTTTCTTATTTTTCTCTTCTCTAGGCTAAGTATCTCCAATACTTTCAATTATTCCTTATGTGATTTGGTTTATAGCATCTTCATCCTCACTGATCAACTCTGAAAACGAATCTAAAAACCTGTCACTGCCTCTCTTAAAATGTATATGGAATATTAAAAATAATACTCCACAATAACCACAAAACATAGTGGGGCTATTACTCCTCATGATCTATACTTTTTTTGTTGATGTTGTTCTGACCCATGATTTCATCTGTGTAAGAAGTTCCCAGTGAGCAAACTATCAATTCAGATCAGCAATTCTTCTGCACAGACTAGGACACCGAGAGATTTGCCCATACAATATATATGGCCAGTATACAGCAAAGGAAGGACTTTAACCCATGTCATACTCTCAGGCAGACCCAATAGCCCATGTAGCACGGTGCCTCTTACTGTATTCCTAAACATGACTTCTATTAATGAAGCATATGACAATCCATTTTTAAAGCACGTATCATACCTCTGGATCACAGGATTTTAGAGCTGAAAGGGACCCTAAAGATCACATAATTCAAATTTTATAAAAGGAGTAACTTTCCCAGGGTCATGAGGCCAGTAAAGTGCCCGTTAGGATTCCAAATCTAGTGTTCATTCCACCAAAATAAGATGCCTCCTTATTAAACTCATGGTCAACTGAAACCCTAGGATATTTTTTTTAATATAAATTCTCCCATCCTATATTTGTGCAGTGAATTTTTATTTCTACTTAGTTTGCATCTTCTTGATTCAGTTGAGCACACGAGTCTTTGACATGTATATATTAGCTACTTCTCCAAGTTTTGTGTGATTTAAAAATCTGATAAACATGATCCTCATGTCTTCATCTAAACCAGTGATTAAAATAATGGGTTGGATGTAGCTAAGAACAAATCACTGTGGTACTCCAAAGAATTCTGTCGCAGAGTGGAAAGAGCTTGGGCTCATAAATCAAAGAAGTCAGGTTCAAACCCAGCTCTGCTTCCTCAACCAGATTGATGCAGGGCACATCCTTTAACTTTCCTGGAATAGATAATGGGACCACAGATTTAGAACGGGAAGGGATCTCAGAGATCATCTAATCCACCTCCTTCATTTGGTTGCAGGAAAATGAGGATAAAAGAGGTTAAGTGACTTGTCTGACATCCACCAGTTGTAAGAGACAGAGCCAGGATTACTTATGATTACATATATCATACTATATGAGCTGGATCTATGATAAATCCACTGCCTAACAATCTTTGGTTATAGTTGTTCACTAATAAAAACATCCATATGCTCACCATCTTATCTACAATGTCACTCAAAAGGCTGTCAAATATTTTTATGAACTTCAGATACTCTATGTCAATATTTATTAAAATACTTGAGGCAGTGCTGTGTAGTGGGAAGAGCCTTGGACTTTAAGTCAAAAGACCTAAGTTGATATTCTACCTCACTATATTTAATAGCAGCATGATCTCTCTTAGCCTCACTTTCCCTAATTTATAAAATAGGGATAAAAATATTTGTAGCACCTACCTCAAGGAGTTGTTTAAAAAGAGTAAATGAGATGATATACATAAAGCATTTTGTAAGGTATTACACAAATGTTTGCTACCATTATTGTTTATGGGCATTTCACTGATTTACCAACCTGTTAACTCTATCAAGAAAGGCAATTAAGTTTACTTGGAACATGTTAGTAAGTGGAAAGGCTGAATGTAGTCAATTCTTATCTTGCTTACATTTTCTCCACCAGGAAAACTTTTCAAACTAGAAAAGATTTAAACAATTTTTAAAAAGTGAATTAAAGTTCAAGATAGGTGAGCCATCACCTGACATCATACATATCTGTGTGACTCTGAGCAAATCACTTAACCCCAACTGCCTGCAAGAAAAAAAAAAAATTCCAATGGCCTTTTCTCAATCCTTCTCGACTCCTTCATAGCACTTAACACTTGACCACTTCACGGATAGGTCAGCTAGATGGTGCAGTGGATAGAGTGCTGGAACTAGATCACTATATTGCTGAGAAAAGCTAGGGCATTCACAGACAATCATTGTACTCTCTTGGTGTTACTGCATACAACGTTCTACTGGTTCTGCTCACTTCACTTTGCATAAATTTATGTAAGTCGTTCCAGGTTTTTCTGAAATCTGCCTGCTCATCATTTCTTACAGCACAATAGTATTCCATTACCATCATATACCACAAGTTGTTTAGCCATTCTCCAATTAATGGGCATCCCATCAATTTCCAATTCTTTGCCACTACAAAAAGAGCCACTATAAATATTTTTGTACAAATAGGTCCTTTCCCCTTTTTTTGGATCTCTTTGGGATACAGACCTAGTAGTAGTACTGCTGGATCAAAGGGTATGCAGTTTGATTGCCCTTTGGGCATAGCTCCAAATTGCTCTCCAGAAAGTTTGGATCAGTTCACAACTCTACCGAAAGTGCATTAGTGTCCTAATTTTCCCCTATTCCCTCCAACACTTATCATTTTCCACCATATTAGCCAATCTAATAGGTGTTAGACAGTACCTCAGAGTTATTTTAATTTGCATTTCTCTAATCAATAGTGATTTAGAGCATTTTTTCACATGACCAGATACAGCTTTGATTTCTTCATCTGAAAACAGCCTGTTCCTATCTTTCGACCATTTATCAATTGGGGAATGACTTGTATTCTTATAAAACTGACTCAGTTCTCTATATATTTGAGAAACGAGGCCTTTATCAGAGACATATACTGTAAAAACTGTTTCCCAGCTTTCTGGTTTCCTTCTAATCTTGGCTGTATTGGTTTTGTTTATGCAAAAACTTTTTGATTCATTATCAAAATTGATATATGATATATGATCAAAATTATCCACTTTACATTTCACAATGCTCTCTATCTTATTTCATCATAAATTCTTCCCTTCTCCAGAGACCTGACAGATAAACTATTCCATGCACTCCTTATTTGCATAGGGTATCACCCTTTATGTCTAAATCATCATTTTGACCTTATCTTGCTATGTAGTATAAGATGTTGGTCTATACCTAGTTTCTGCCATACTGTTTTCTAGTTTTCCTGGTAGTTTTTGTCAAACAGTGAGCTCTCATCCCAGAACCACAGGTCTTTGGATTTATCAAACACTGTATTATTATGGTCGTTTACTACTGTCTTATGTACCTAATCTTTTCCACTGATCCACCACTCTATTTCTTAGTCAGTACCAGATAGTTTTGATGATTACCACTTTACTTAAAGTTTGAGATCCTGTACAGCTGGTCCACTTTTTTTCAAAGTTTTTTGTCATTAATTACCTTGATATTCTTGACCTTTGTTCTTCCGGATGAATTTTATTATTTTTTCTAGCTCTAAAAAATAATTTTTAGTGGTTTCATTGTTATGACACTAAAATGTATTAATTTAGATAGAATTGTCATTTCTCTTACACTGACCTGGCTTACCCATGAACAATTAATATTTTTCCAACTGTTTAGATCTGACTTTATTTGTGTGAAAAGTGTTTTGTAACTGTGTTTCCTATAGTTCCTAGGTGACTTTGCACAGCTCTCCCTCAACTTAAAACCAATTCACTTGCAAGTCATGACATCATCTTCCTGATGTCATGGGTCTCTTAGAGAACAAACAAATTACAACACAACCTGTGAGGTTTGTCTTGGTAGGTAGATTCCAAAGAATTTTATATTGTCTATAGTTACTTTAAATGGAATTTTTCTTTTATCTTTTGCTGCTGGACTCTGTTTGTAATATATAGAAATATTGATGATTTATATGGGTTTATTTTATATCCTGAACTTTGCTAAAGTTGTTAATTATCTCAACTAGTTTTTTTAGTTGATTCTCTAAGTATACCACCATATCATCTGCAAACAGTGATAGTTTTGTTTCCTCATTCCTATTCTAATTCCTTCAATTTCTTTTTCTTCTCTTATTGCTATACCTACAATATTGAATACAATATTGAACAGTGGTGATAATGAGCATTCTTGCTTCATTCCTGATCTTACTCAGAAGCCTTCTAGCTTATACCCATTACAGATAATGGTTTAAGAAAGACACTACTTATCATTTTAAGGAAAGCTCCATTTATTCCTATGTTCTCTAGTGCTTTTAATAGAAAAGGGTGCTATATTTTGTCAAAAGCTTTTTATGCATCTATTGAGATAATCATATGATTTCTGTTGGTTTTGTTATTTGATATGGTCAATTTTGCTTTTCGTTTTCTTAATATTCAACCAGTCCTGAATTCCTGGCATAAATCCTACCCGATTATAGTGTATGATTCTTGTGACATATTGCTGTAATCTCTTTCCTAGTATTTTATTTAAAATTTTTTCATCAATATTCATTAGGGAAATTGTTCTGTAGTTTTCTTTCTCTGTTTCAGCTCTTCCCGGTTTAGGTATCAGCACTATATTTATGTCATAAAAGAAATTTTGTAGGAATTCTCTCTCTATTTTTCCAAACAGTTTATATAGTATTGGAATTAATTGTTCTTTAAATGTTTGGTAGAATTCATTTGTGAATCCATCTGGCCCTGGGGATTTTTTCTTACGGAGTTCATTGAAAGATTATTCAATTTCCTTTTCTAAGATGGGTTTAAGTATTTTATTTCCTCTTCTGTTAATCTAGGCAATTTATATTTTTGAACATATTTATTAATTTCGCTTAGACTGTCAGGTTTATTGGCATATAATTGGGGAAAACAGTTCCTAATAAATTGCTTTAATTTCTTCTTCATTGGTGGTGACTTCTCCCTTTTCATTTTTGATACTGATAATTTGGTTTTCTTCTTTTTTAAAAATCAAGTTAACCAATGGTTTATCTACTTTTTTTAATGTTTTTTTCCCCCATAAAATAAGCTCCTAGTTTTGTTTATTAGCGCAATAGTTTTCTTCCTTTCAATTTTATTAACCTCACTTTTGCTTTTCAGGATTTCCAATTTGGTGTTTAATTGAGAATTTTTAATTTATTCTTTTCCTAGTTTTTCTTAGTTACACGCCCAATTCAATGATCTGCTGTGACACTGATGTAACAGTTTAAAGATATAAAATTACCCCTAAGTACTGTACAATAAAACTTTTAAAATGTAAAAACCATTCTTAGCTCTCAGTGGCAGAAAAGCAGTTTGCTGGGCTGGATTTAGCCTGTGGGCCAACTCATAATCTGGTGACCCCATACCATTCTTAGTTGGTGATAAGCAACCAAGGGTTCAATCATCATGTCTATTGAGATGATTTCCCTACTCTCACTACTAAGCTATAATTATGACACTACTCATTGCCTTTTAGACATCTTGTTACATCCCATATGCATCTCAAACATAACATGTCCAAAACAACTCTATCTTTCCCCCAAAACTTCCTCTTCCAAAGTTTCATATTACTATTGAGAGAATTATCATCCTTCCAGTGTCCCAGGTTCACAAACTCAGTGTTATACGGAACTCCTCACTCTCCTTCACCCTCACTAATAAATTTTGTCTCTTCTACCTTAACTCATACCACCTTAGTAAACTCTGCCACTGGGGCCTCTCCCAGATTGTAGGAGGTGGCTATCAGGGGAGCCTCCTTCCATACCTTCCATTTCAGCAGAGCCCCTAAGTCATCTCATCAATTCCTACCAGACCATGGAGATTGCTGCTGCAGCATGCCCTCCCACCCACTCCCTCATACCTCCCCGCTTCTCTATTTCTTTTTCTGTGTTCCCCATTAGACTGTAAGCTTCTTCAAAGTAGGGAATGTCGTGCCTTTCTGTGCATCCTCTGACACATAATAGGCACTTAATGTTTATGTGGAGTACACACCACACACCTTTCTCTTCACTCACACAGTCACCACCTAGTTCAGGCTCTCACTACCTCTTGCTTGTACTACTGAATTAGTGTCCTGAATTAGTGTCCATCTCCCTGCCTCACGCCTCTTCTCAGTTCTGACCATATTGCCTCTAGATTAAACAAGTTCCAATAGCTCCCTACTACCTCTAGGATCAAATATAAACTCCTGTATGGCATTTAAAGTTCTTCATGCCTTGGCCCTTTTCTACTCCTCCAGTGTTCTTATAATTTACTCCTCTTCACACACTCCAATACCCAGATTCACTAGCCTACTTGCTATTTCTTGAATATAACATACTATCTCCCATCACTATTCCCTTCACCTCAGTCTCTTAAGTTTTTCCAGATTCCTTCACAACTCAACTTAAATTGTACTTTCTGCAAGAGGGGAAGAAAGAAATAAGCATTCAGACAGCATCACTATATGCCAGGTACTCTTAAAGCTAAGTGCTTTACAAATACTGTCCCATTTGATCCTCACATCAAACTCTGTGAGGTAGGTATTGTTACCATACCCATTTTACGGCTGAGGAAACTGAGGCAAACAGAAGGTATGTGATTTGCCCAGAATCACACAGCTAGTGTCTGATTCTCTTCTACACTCCAGGCTCAGAGCTCTCTACTGTATCACCTGTATCTGCTCTGGGATGGCAGCTAGAAGTCTTTTCCAATCTCCCCACATACTTCCTTTTCTTAGGTTACCTTCTATCTACTCTGTCATTTGTCCTTCATTTTCAAAGAACAATAACATCACAGGGTGATATCTATACTCATGGGTGCACTGGATTTAAATGAGGTAGAATTGCACAGTCATCAGCCTCAGTCTTCTAGAGTCATGGAAGTCCTGTGGCAAGACAAAAGTCAGGACGACTGGTGATGGCCTGGGATGCAATGGATAACTTTGGCATCTTCAATGTCTGACCAGCTGTAAGCATTGCACAATGCCTACTTCAGTCACCTTCATGGCCACTGGAACAAACTGTTCTCATCCGTCCACTATGCCAGGGGAAGTTTTCACGTGCTTGGGGTAGACATTCCCCTACAAGTTTGTGGCTCATCGCTTACCCTCAACCTGGTATAGTTCGTCTGCTGAGATGGTTTACCAGAGTGTGGCTGAGCCACATGCTACAGCTTCTAGGAGCCACAGGTGAGAGCTGAGTGCCAGATGGACACCAAAGGTAGATGAGCATCCCTGAAAGCAGATTGGCAAGCCCTCACACCAGGGGTGCTAGTCCTCCTTGAACACGCTATACACCCCAATCTATTCTGTAAATAGCTTGTATTTACCAAATCATTTGCATGATGTCTCTCCCATTAGAATGTAAGCTCCTTGCCATAAGGGACTACTTTTGCCTTTTTTTTACCTCCAGCACTTAGAATAGTGCCTGGTACATGGTTACTGGTAATAAATATTTGTTGACTATTAACTGGATAAATGACTCTCATTTTTGTCTGTGGTATTTCTCAAGAACATCAGCTCATTTGGGACTTTAATATTGCTGACATTATTTTTACAGATCTGAGATACTCCTTTCTATTAATCCTCATTCATTCCTTTTAAAATTTGAGGTCACTGGTATGGGTTCCTTTATAAGGAGACTGATTTTGTCAGATGCTTTCTTTTTTTACTGGTATCATTCCTGCCTGTATAACAAGAACTTATATTTATATAGAACTTTTAAGATTTATGGTGATTTTCTCACAACAACCCTATAAGGTAAGTAGTGCCAAGTATCATTATCTCCAGTTTACTAATAAGGAAACTGAGGCTCAAGGAGTGAAATAATTTGAATATGGGCCCAACATCCTTTCTATTATACCATACTGCTTCACTTCCCAAAAAAATGCTTCACAAATTCATTTTCAAAATAATCTCCCATTACATTATGTAATTCAAGAATAATATTTTATACCAGTTAGAAAGTACAAAATGTTAACAAATTTAGAATGAATTGCATACTTACTTACTGCCACCAGACTAAGCTTCTGGACCTGTAAAAAAAAACAAACCCATTTAATTTTAACATCATGTTTAAGAATTAAAACTCATTAAATAACAAAATGTGTTGTCCTTTGCATGTGAAAATAACTCTACAAACTTTAGGAGGGCAAAGAATCATGGTTCATTTTTCCAGTAGTGATAGATTTGTATAGCTACATTATTTCTCCTTGCGGCAAAGAGCACATTTGTGAAATATGTGATTATGATTAGGAATACAGCCTTTGGCTATGAAAAAAACTATAGAGGGACTAAGGTGGCCTACTGTCCACTGAAGACATCCAACAACCTGAAGCAAATTGAGAACATAAAAATCCCTTTTGGAACCAGGATCCTAAACTTAAAGGTGAGGAACAGTCTTTTCATCTTCACAAACAAAAGAATTCCCCGCTGCCCTCCCCACCTCTTCACCCACATATACACACATGCATACCCTCCCTTCCAACCACACAAAAAATGACTTTTCCTCTTGGGCCTCATAAAGCACTCCATTTTCCAGCTCTCAATTAATCAATCAATCAAAAGGCATATCTAGGCACTGTGCTAGGCAATCCAAATGTGAAGACAAAACAGAGATTCTATACATGGATACATAAAATCAATTCAAGGTATTTGAGATGAAGGAATGGAGAAGACCCAGATAAAATCAATTCAAAGTTTTGTTTGTTTTTTGTCTGTTTTTGGTACAGAAGAAGATATTAGCAGCTCAGGGGAATCAGGAAAGGCTTCATGTAGAATGTGGACTGAGATGAGTCTTTAAGGAAAACAGAAATTCTAAGAGGCAGAGGTGAAGAAGGAGTACATTCTAGGTGTGAGAGGGAGCCAATGAAAAGGCATCAATAGGGAAGATAAAAGTAATTAAGTAAGAGGAACAGTAAGAAGGCCAGTTTGGATGGACTGTAGTGTGCATGAAAGGGAATAATGTGTAATAAGAATGGAAAGGCCAGGTAATAAAGAATTTTAAACACCAGTTTAAATGGAACTTATATACATGGATTATATGAAATTACAAAATTATTTTTGGAAGTGGAATTAACAAATGATTCTAGAGGGATCCCTCTAAAGCCAAGGGAAGAACTTGCTCCAGGTCACACAGGTCATTAAGTAGAAAAAAGGTGAAATTTGACACCAGATCCTCTGACTCTAAATCTAGTCCTGTATCATGGAACTTAATTAATATTCTTACTAATTTATGTTAATATTCCACATACCTATGTTTATATATTCCTGGATTTAACTGTCGCAAGAGTTGTATTTTATCTAAATTTTGCATTTTCCCAAGTGCCTAAAAGGGCACTGCACAAAGGAAATTAATGTATTTGCTCATTTCATTTTAATTTCAAGACTCATCCCTTATTACATCCACTATATGGAAGGTACTATACTAGTCAATAAAAATACAAGAATTTTTTTTAAGTTCCTAGTTTAAGTTCCAAGTTTAAAGTCTTGGCAAAGAAGAGGAAGGCAGATGGAAAGATAAATATATTTCACAGATAAATATGGTAAAGGTGTTACTGAGGCAAAGGAGAGTCAGTCAGACAAACTGCTTTAGGATAATTTGATGAAAGAGAAAACACTATCAGTTAAGGTCAGGGGAAGCTTCTTGGAGGATGTATCACCTGAATCAAGCCTAAAAAAAAAAAACATTCTGAAAAGCAGAGATGAGAAAGAAGTATATTGTAGTATGGGACAAATGTACTGAACGAAGATCACATATACTAAGTTAAGGAGGAGTTCTTGAACGTAGACTTAATTAATGGAATTAATGTGAAAGAAAATTGGAAAAGTATTTTGAAGCCAGATCATAGAGGATCTCAAAAGTCAGGATAAGGAGTTTATATTTTAGCCTACAGGCAACAGGGAGCCACTGAAGGTTTCTGAGCTGAGGAGCACATCGAGTCACTATTTCAAAGCTAGTTATTCCATAGCTAGATTACTTTGACAGGTGCATGAATAACAATGAAAAGGGAAAGAGCTGGCGGTGACCAGTTAGGAAGCTATTACAATAACCTAGGGGATGACAACCTGAACTAGGTTAGTCTTTTTGTGTGAAGAGATGCTGCAGCAGGAACTAGATCTGGCCCCTAATAGTAGAACTTGAAGGCTGAAGAAAATAAGCCAAACATGAACCTGAGTTTGCAAACAAGTTAGGGAGGAGTTCTTTCTCCCTCCCCCATGTTGAGTTTGAGATGCCTAGCAAATATCAGGGGAAAATATTCATCAGGCAGTTGGTGATACCAGGAGATCTGGAGAGAAATCAGGACTTGGAGTTTACTCACATATATAATCGAATCCATAGAAGCACGTGAAACCTCTAAGTAAAGAAAGAACAGGTGGCCCAGGAGGGAGATGGGAGCGAACACACACCACGAGGGTGATGATTCGGCCAGAGATGGACAAGTGTGGTCAGACAGGCCGGAGAGATTCAGGACAGAGCAATGCCTCGGGAGCCAAGGAATGGCCAAGTCCACAGGAGCGTCAGAGGGATCATGGGATGACGGCGAAGCTGCAAACCGGCTGCGCGGGCAATATCGTACAAGCGGAGCCGGGGAGCGGGGCCGAACGAGTCCGCCCGGGCGCTCACTCTGCCCCAGGCTCAGGCTCCGGACGACGGCCACGACCCCGGGCACACGCGGGTGGGGGCGGGGGAGGCACAAGCCCCGGGCGCCGCTGGGGGAAGGGCGACGGGCTACTTACATTGTAGGTGTGGAAACTCTTCCCCACGCAGGTTGTCACGTAGAACCTGCGGTGCCGGCCGTGGTAGCGAACCACGTGTGGGATGTGGGAGCTGAAGAGCCCGAGGGCGCGGAAGCCGGAGAAGAGCGCGCTGCTCGAGCCGCGCCCGCCGCCGCCCTCCATGTGCTCGGACACCTGGAGCCCGCGGCCTCGCCCTGCGGCCGCCGCCTAATGACTCGCTAACTACTCCAGACCCGCGCCCGCAGCTTCTTGTGGCAGCCGCTCCAACGCTGCAACCCCCACGCGTCACTTCCGGCGCGGCGGCCAATGACGTCACTCTCACTTCGTGCAGTAATAGGAACGTTTCCCGGCGCTTCCGGGCGCGGCGGCGTTTCAGGTGCTTGGGGATCAGTCATTCGGCGTCTCTCCCAGGCGGCGTTCGCCGGAGCCTCCTGAGACCAGAGGGGAGCACCTTCAGCAGTCAGACAAATAAGGTTTATCCTCTACTGTCTTTTTCTGTCTCAGAAGCCGTTTACTAACTGTAGGTGGCCCTCGTTCTGTCCTGGACCCTCTTCTTGCCCCTTCCCCTGGTGACGTCATCAGCTGCCGTGGCCTTGATGCCCGTCTCTGGGCTGGTGGTTCCCCGCCGATCCCGCCCGATCCCTGGGCTGATCTCCAGTCTCCTGTCCCTAACTGGATGGCCAATAGACAACCTAAATTGAATACCTCCGGAACAAAACTCATCATATTTCCCCCCAACCCCCTACTTCTCTTACCTCCCTGTTACTGTAGAGGATGACGCCATCCCCTCAGGCTCAGGCTCACGATCCGAGTCATCCTGGATTTCCCATCTCTCACCCCTCATATCTAAGCTCTTGCCAAGGCCTGTTCATTTCGCTTTTGCCAAGTCTCTTAAATGTGCCCCCTTCTCCCCCTGACGCTGCCTCAACTCTCTCCTCACTCCAGTGCTTCCTCCGCTCAGCCATTAAAGAGTTTTTCTTCAAACTCGGGTCCAATTAAGTCATCTCTGTACTCAGTAAACTTCACTGGCTCCCTATTACTTCCCAGGAGCAAATATAAAATTCTCTGTTTGACATTCAGAGCCCTTAATCTACCCCTCTTCTATCTTTCCATTCTTCTTAAACCTTATTCCCCAACACATACTCTTCAGTCCAGTGACACTGGCCTTCTGGCCGTTCCACAAACAAGACAACTCCATGTCTCAGCTCCTGGGCATTGTCTCTGGTTGTTCCCCATGCCTGGAACATTCTCCCTCCTCTGTTAAGACTGCCAACCTCTCCGGCAGAATAATACAGAAAAGCTTGGGAAGATCAATATGAACTAGTGCAGAGTTAAGTAAGCAGAGCGAAGAAAACAATATACATGGTGAGGGCAACAGTACAAATGGCAGGAACAACCAGCACCATCACCACCAAAAGATGAATATAACAAAATTGTAAAGAGAATACCCGAGTCACCACTTCATGGAGCTGGGAGATCTACAGGTGTTGCACATTACATATTTTCTGACTTTTTCAATGTAATGATCCAGTTGTGCTGACTTTTTTTCTGCATTTTCTTTTTAGTTTTTAAAAAATGCTGTTTTTTTACGTAGAATAACTCTTTCAAGGAGAGGGAAGGATGCTCAGAGAAACTTTGTTGTTGAGTCGCTCAGTCATGTCCAACTCTTTTTGACCCTGTGGACCATATCATACTAGCCCCTTTCATCATCCACTATCTCCAAAGTCTGTCCAAGTTCATGTTCCTTGCTTCCATGACACTGTCTATCCATCTCATCCTCAGCTGTCACCTTCTCCTTTTGCCTTCAATCTTTCCTAACATCAGGGTCTTTTCCAATGACTCTTCTCATTATGTGGCCAAAGTATTTAATTAAGCTTCAGTATTTGGCCTTCAAGTGAATAGCCTGAACTTATTTCTTTTAAGTATTGACTGATTTGATCTCCTTGCTCTCCAAGGGACTTTCAAAAGTCTTCTCCAGCACCACAATTCAAAAGTTTCAGTTCTGTGACACTCAACTTTCCTTGTCATCCAACTCTCATGGCCACACGTTGCTACTGGAAAAAACCATAGCTTTGACTTTTGACATACAAACTTTTGTTGACAAGGTGATGTCTCTGCTTTTTGGTGCGCTTTTTAGATTTGCCATAGCTTTCCTTCTAAGGAGCAAGCATCTTTCAGTTTCATGACTGCTGTTGCCATCTGCAATGATCTGAGCCCAAAAATATAAAATCTGCTTCCATTCTCTCTCTGTTTGCCAGGAAGTGATGGGACCAGTTGCCAAGATCTTAGTTTTTGTGATGTTAAGCTTCAAGCCAGCTTTTATACTCTCTTTACCTTTATCAAGAGGCTTCATGATTCTTCATTTTCTGCCATCAAAGTGGTATCAGCTGCATATCTGAGGTTGATATTGATATTTTTCCTAACAATCTTAATTTGAGCTTTTGATGCATCTAGTCTGGCATTTTACATGATGTACTCTGCATTTAAGCTAAATAAATAAGATGACAATGTACAGCATTGTCATACTTCTTTTCCAATCTTAAACCAATTGGTTCCATGTTCAGTTCTAACTGTTGCCTCTTGACCCATAACAGGTTCCTTAGGAGACAAGTAAGATAATGTGGTATTCCCATCTCTTTTGAGGACTTGCCACAATTTGTTGTAATCTACACATTCAAAAGCTTTAGTGAAGTCAATGAAGCAGAAGTAGATGTTTTTCTGGAACTTCCTTGCTTTCTCCATAATCCAATGAATGTTAGCAATTTGGTCTCTAGTTCCTCTGCCTCCTCAAAAACTGGCCTGTTGTTCTGGTAGTTTTTGGTTCATTTATTGCTGAAGCCTAGCTTGCAGAATCTTAAGCATGATCTTGCTGGAGTGTGAAATGAGCCTAATTGTTTGGTAACTTGAACATTCTTTGGTGTTGCCTTTTTTTTAAGGATTGGGGTTTAAACTAATCTTTTCCAATCCAGTGGGTTGCTGTTGACTTTTCCAAATTTGCTGACACGTTGAGTGCAGCACTTTAGCAGCATCATTTTTTAGGATTTTAAATACCTTAGCTAGAATTCCAACACCTCCATTAGCCTTGTTGTTAGCAGTGCTTTGTAAGACACACTTGACTTCATTCTCTAGGATGCCTAACTCTAGATAAGTAATCACACCATCATGATTATTGGTGATGTTAAGGTCTTTCTTGTATAGTTCTTCTGTACATTCTTGCCACGTCTTCTTAATCTCTTCTGCTTCTATTAAGTCTCTACCATTTTTGTCTTTTATCATGCCCATTTTTGTGTGAAATATTATTCCCTTGATATCTCTCATTTTCTTGAAGAGATCTCTTGTCTGTTCTATTGTTTTCTGTTTCTTTGCATTACTCATTTAAGAAAAATTTTTTTATCTTTCCTCCCTGTTCTCTGGAATTCTGCTTTCAGTTGGATATATCTTTCCCTTTCTCCTTTACCTTTTGCTTTCCTTCTTTTCTCACCTTTTTTTTTTTTTTAAGGCAACTGGGGGGGGGGGTCACACAGCTAGTAAGTGTCAAGTGTTTGGTCTGAGGCCGGATTTGAACACAGGTCCTCCTGATTTCAGGGCCAGTGCTCTATCCACCGCCCCATCTAGCTGCCATCTTTCCTCAGCTGTTTGTAAAGCCTCATCAGACAGCCGTTTTACTTTCTTGCTCTTCTTTTTCTTTGGAATACAATATTGCAAACTTCTGTCCATAGTTCTTCAGGCATTTTATCTACCAGATCTAATCCCTTAAATCTATTCATCACTTCTACTTCACATTCATAAGGGATGTTATTTAGGCCATAACTATAAGGTCTGATAGTTTTTCCTACTTTTTTCAATTTAAGTTTGAATTTTGCAATAAGAAGCGCGTGATCTAACCCACAGTAAGCTCTAAACCTTGTTTTAATGAACTGTATAGAGCTTCTGCACCTTTGGCAGCAAAGTATATAATTCATCTGATTTCAATATAGACCATCTGGTGATGTCCATGTGTAGAGTCACTTTTGGGTTGTTGAAAAGGGTGTTTTTGCTATGACCAACAAGTTGTCTTGACAAAACTATTAATCTCTGCCCTGCTTCATTTTGTACTAGAAGGCCAAACTTGCTTGTTATTCCAATCATCTTTTGATTTCATACTTTATTTAGCATTTGAGTCCCATATGATGAATGACATCTTTTTTTATTGTTATTTCTAGAAGATGTAGGTCTTCATAGAACTGATCAACTTTGATCTCTTCAGCATCAGTAATTGAAGCTTAAAATTGCATTAATTAATAAACCTTAGAAGTGACTAAATTAAATTAATTGATGTGGAATAGTTTGCCTTGGATTCAAACAAGTATCATTCTTTCACTTTTGAGATTATACCCCAGTATTGCTTTTCTTGCCCTTTTGTTGACTATAAGGGCCACTCCATTTCTTTTATGGGATTCTTGCCCATAGCAGTATATAACAATCACCCAAATTAAACTCACCCGTCCCTATCCATTTAAGTTCAACGACACCCAAGATGTCAGTGTTTAATCTTTCCATCTCCTATTTGACCACATGCAGCTTACTTTTATTCATGGATTTTCCATTCCATGTTCCTGTACAATATTGATCTATACAACTTCCGGTTTTCCTTTCATCACTAGATACATCAACAGCAGCGCCTCCTTTTTGCTTAGACCCAGTTGTTTAATTAATACTAAAGCTACTTGTTGTGCTTTGCTCTTCCCCAGTAGCATGTTGGGACACCTTTTACCCTGAGGGGCTCATCTTCCAGTGAAAATTCATCTTTTATTATTTTAATACTGTCCGTGGGGTTTTCTTGGCAAAGATACTGAAGTGGTTTGCGTTTCCTTCTCTGGTGATAATGTAAAAAAAAAAATCTATTAAACTTATTTTTTAAAAAAGAAAAAGAAAGTACCAGTGTTCTGTTCCACACCAGCCATACAAAGGTACCTACAAACAATAGAGATATTTAAAGAAACTGAGCTCAAAAAATCCTGGGAACCCTGAGTCCCTCTGTCACTTCTTACTCTGCACCTTGAAAGAAAAGCATAACGCCTAAGGAGCAGAGGGGAGCATGTGCCATTAGCCTGAGCTACAGAACTTGATTGAACAGGTTTAGTCTGAGGCTGTCAGGGCTGAAACTATCAGTCTACATGGGT